TATAGCATTTGTAATGAGAGGTACATATCTACTGTATACATACTAAAGAGTAGGGGGAAAAACTGCAAATGTTTGCATAGATTATTGTTCAGGAACACCTACATAAAGATGGAGGGTCAGAATGGAACTTGGCAAATATATTAATAAATCAACAGGGTGAGAAACAGTACTGTTGCAATGGGAAAGGTAAATGGGGATTTACAGTCCAGGTTTCGTTTGGCATTGCTTTCTGCAGGGCTGAATTAACATAGGGACTAATGGGCTGAAGATCCTGGTACGTGCAAATAGTATAGGTCCATTGATGAGGTGTGTGTGTGTGTGTGTGTGTATGTGTGTGTAAATATATTATATTTTTTATATATATATATATTATATATGTGTGTGTATATATACATAATTATTTTTGTTTCCTATTTATTTTTATTATTTTCATTTTTATCTAATTTTTAACATGGTTTAATTATTGGAACTTAGAAGGGATGCTGTGGGACAAAACTTACGTGGATTGGCTGACTATAAATTAGTTAAGGTAAAGCTGACGTTGCTTACTGTGCTAATGCTCTTGCTGCTTGGGTCTCTCTACAGTGTGACACGGTCCACTTTCTTCTACACTCACTACATCCACCTTTTTCTCTGCTCCAGACTGGATACCAAGATCTTTTGACTCCTAGCAAGAAGGGAAGGAGACGAGTGGAAAAGCGAGTTGCCAAGATTTACATGTTTAAATGACTTCAAGTATTTTGTGAAACTGAAAATGTAATTTATAAGGAGATCTAAGTATCTTATATACACAGACTGATTTCTAAACACATTTATTTTAGTTTAAAGACAAATTATTGTAAAAGCTTTCTGCAGCGAAACAATAAATCTCTGCACTAGGAAATAGATAGATAGATCCAGAAAATCATTAATGATGTTAATGGATAAAGAAAGAGTGGGTCTGTGAAAGGTTTCATCTATTGCAAATGATGTGATCAGTTCAAGAATATAAGGTAGTATGATATGATGGCATAAACTGTATTAACTCAATAACTATGTCAAGAGATGAAAATAAAAAATTATGTAAAGTATCAAAAAAAAATAAAATATATATATATATAAAAGGGAAATATGTTTGTGAATTTTACATTTTAACTGTCACTTAAAGGGATACTATAGTAATCAAAACAAGTCAGCTTAATAAAGCAGTTATTTGTCCTCTGCAGTCGCATTGTTTCGATTTTCTGTCATTTAGAAGTTAAAATTTTGTTTCTGTTTTGGCAGTCCTAGCCCACCTCCCCCAGCTGTGACTGACAAATAAAAAAAGGGCTTCATATTCAATCAGATGTTAACATGCCTTGGATGTGTTTATATCCTGCTCTGTAAATGTAACAATAATCACACACAGGAGGCTCCTGTAGGCTCTAGAAGGCAGAGCAGGCGAAAATAAATTCTAGATTAAACAGACTGTGCAATAAAGTAACCTAGAATATCTAGGTTACTGTTCAAGAAGGGTTTATGCAGGCTATGCAAGCCACATGCAGGTAGGTGTGATTAGGGCGGTATAATCAAAGTGATTCAACTCCTAAATGGCAGAAAATTGAGCAGTGAGACTGCAGGGGCACGATCTATACACCAAAATTGCTTTATTTTGGTACCAATAGTATAATGTGTGTTAACCTCTAATGATGCTCTGTTCTCGTTAAATATTGAATACATTAAACATTAGGTTACTTACACCCCCAATTAGAAATAACGTAAACTAGTAAAAAGTCAAAATGTAAAGTGGAACACAGTGAGTGAGGTGTATTGTATTGCACTCACCATTTCTTATATTGGGGTGTATATTTTCAATGTTGAATAAGACTAGGAAAGATATGAACACGATATAATGTGACACACTATCTTATGAGACAGCCTATATACTGCTGTGAGTTACTACAGTCTCACATATAATGTAGACCCACAGTATTGTGCCTTTCATCGATAGCACCCTCCACCTAATGGGAATTAAGGAAATAGATTTTAGAACCCATAGCTTGAGCTTACGTGGCTCTACAGTACATAAATGTGGTGATTATTGGGGTGGGGATTAATCGGGTAAAGAAAACAGATCTGTCACAAACACAAAGGGGATAATAATCGGGAGGGTAGTAACAGTTGAGTTCATGAAAAAATTCTATGTCTATTGCCTAAGGTTCATTTGCCAACTGTGTGAAATGTCAAGAACACACAATCCTCTCTCTGCAAATCCAGACACGCCTTCGCAATCTGCTCCATTCACCAATCTCACAAACAAAAACTACAAGTCAATCAGTCATCCAGCATATTAATAAAGAAATATGCTTCATCTAGCATCTTCGTACATAACAAATGATAAAACAATATATCTGGCATGAGCTTAATCAAGGCCAATGTTACTTTTTTACATCATGGTAACTAAACTGCAAAGTAGACTCATACTTGGAAGAAAATTCGGTCCAGCCATATCAGTTCATCTGAAAAGAAAATTTTGTTTGTGACGTTCAAATGGTAGTTTGACTCCATAGAACATCGTCCATGGAAATATTTCATGAAAATTATGCCACCCAAACAAAAGGGTGTGAAAATGGTCCAATTAGTGTTCTGCAAAATAGATATGAGAAGAATTGATTTTCTCACCCCCTGCTGGGTGGTTTATATATATATTTTTGTGTACTCCTCATTCTCGTGTCCTCTACCAGAGGCCTTGGATTTTGAGGCTTCAGCACAGTATCTTAGCTGTTCCTAGAACTGCATTCTGCTGGACAGCGATCTCTGATGTTATACCCGGAACCTGTTGAAACAACTCCCCCAACTTGATGGTCCTATATTTAGAGAGATCTATAGATAGATCTACTGTATATCTATCTCATGTAATTTGTAGTACACTGATAGGTGCATTTTCCTGCAATTTGGTTCACAGATCAAGTAAAATTAATTCTGTGTATAATATATATATATTTTTATTTTTATTTATTTTTTTGTCAAATATATATATATGTGTGTGTGTGCAGAGAGAGAGGGGAACACAAACCAAAAGGGCTTCACTTACCTGAACATGCTTACATTTTAAGGCAGATACAAACACTGACAGACACATGCTTGTCAAAATTTACACTTTTTAAGCCACCTTATAGTTTCCTATTTTTTTTTTAATGCAGAATGGTGTTTCCTTGGTGTCCAGTCTGCTGGCTGAGGCTGTTGGGAGTCAGAGTCTGACCCACTCAGTTCATCCCTCCCTTTTCTCTGCCTTCTCCATTGCTCTGTTCTCCCTCCTGCTTGGCTCAGTGTTTATATAGGAGGAAATGACCGGCTATCACTTCCGGTAAGAGAGGTACCCAGGTGTGCTGATAAATCTGGCCAGTGTTTGTGACTGAGTAGTTACAAAAAATGACTGGACATACCCCATTTTCAATATTCTGGGTTGTCTACTTTTGAAAATGGTATGCCATGATGGGGGTAATTTTTATTTCTGGGCTCCCATGCTGTCTGAAATGCAACATAGGCCTAGCAAACCAATCTTGCTAATTTAAATGTGTAAACACTGAAATGGGAATGCCCTATACTTAACCCTGTAACTTTAGAAAAAAACAATAAGACCTGTATATGGGGATACTGTTGTACTCGAGAGATATCGCTGAACACAAATATGTGTATTTTATTGCAGTAAAAGCAAACACTATTATGACATTCACAGTTAAAATGCCATGCAGAAATGAAAAAATAAAATGTCTTAATTTTTAATTTTTTTACATTTTCTTTATTTTAAATTATGTTTCATATATAAATATTTGATGTGAAATAAAAGCCCTGTTCCTCCCGATCAAAATGATATATATAAAGTGTGAGAGTACATAATATGAAAGAGGTAAATTACGGCTAAACAAACATATAGCTCAAATTCTAGGGTTTGTTTACAATTTGTTTTGATCAGAACATGTACATTTGGCGCTCGTCCTTAAGGGGTTTACATATGACCTTTTTAATCCAATGTTTAGAAAAACTTTGTTTAACTGTCTAATGAACTTCTTAATTTGCCATTAGATGATATGCAGACATTTTGCTGAATAACTTGACCGTGGGATTAGAGTGAATCTATAACTTGACTTCAATCTAATAACAAATGAAGCAACAATGTCAGTAGAGCTGGGGATGGTCATTGTTTCTTTTGTGATTTTGTTTTTCTACAGTCAGTATAGGGGACTACTTAAAGGGAAATTGCAGGCATAGTAACTGCTTCATTACATTGAAGTGGCTACAGAGTAAGGAATCCCCTGGCATCATCCTTCCATTCGGTGTTAAACCGTTATTAATGTTTTAATGCTCCAGGAGCATTTACAACAGCTCATCTCATTGCTCGAGCTAATGAGGAAGCAGTCTCAGCAGCAATGGGCAGCTGTGATTGGCTGAGAGGGTCAGCTGACCACTGTCAGCCTTTCACAGTGTCCATTTAGGTAGGAATTGGAATGGCTTGAAGGAAGTGTGTAATCTCTGCCTTAGACACTCCTCCAGTGGGGGCAGACTAAGGGAAGTCAGTGACCCATACTAAGTGTTAAACTGCTTGAAAATGGTTTATCACTGAATGGGGGGACAGTGCCAGGGGACTCTAGGCACTATAACCAATATAATGAGATGAAATAGTTATAGTGTCTCTTGTGTCCGTTTAAGGCCTTATTTCAGCAAATGCTGCCAGGGTTCCAGAAATTGTGTTTTTACTCTGCAACATTGAGTCACGTCAAGTCAAGAAGTAGATTTCTCATTCTATTAGGACTTAATAAATAAACTATATTTTTTTTAGTTAACGTAATGTTCATTGCCCAAATTTTTTTTATTTTTGTGAGCAATTTGCCACTTAAGGCAATTGGTGTGGATAATTGCTCCGTTTTTATCCAATTTTATTATCAATGATAATTTAACTTTTAGACCTTAATAACATGAAAACAAGTAAGAAAACAAATTTCTTTTTAAAAAAAAAAGCATTTTTATTTATTTAGAAAGTGCTGTTATCCAAAAAACATATGTTTTTCCTCTAATTCCTCTAACGTCCAAAAATGTCCGGAATGGCAGAAGATCACTTCAGGCAGCAGCAAGCCAATTGTTCTGAAACTTCCTCCCTAATCTGTGAGAAAAGCATTCAATATAGTAGGAACCTAGGTTTATTGTTAAATAATTGGTCTCCTGCGGTGCCCTGTGGTATTTATTTATTTTTCTCTATAACGGCAGTAATATTTCCTGGTGTTTGGGTACTTTCCTATCCAAGCCATTTGATGAGAAGCCATGTTCTAAAAATATGAGAGAAATGTAAAATATCAGAAATGATACCTAAGAAAGGCTTGCAAAATTCCCAAACTATACCAAAGGAACTATTATTTTAATTAAATTGAACATTATTAACTGTATCATGTGTATAGCATATAAACCTAATTTTCAAACCCATATCCTGTAGCCTAACAAAAATTTCTAGCCCTAACATCCATAAATCCCAGTCTATCGCCATTATCATTAGTATTATTGTTAGACTTGAAGATTTGTTTCATTGCAAACTGCAATTCCTCCAAATTTGGTCCAATCGGTTGGTCGCGCAAATTCTCAATCTCCAAACCACCTTATAGGCTAATCATGAAACAAATGACTCACGCATTGGATGGGCACGTTAATTTTAATTTGTGATTCCGAATTCCTTCGATTGTACCAAAAAAAAAAAAAAAAAAGATTAATTGGAAAAAAGCTGATTGATGCCTAATGGACAGGCAGCAATTATTGATATTATTCACAGATCCAGTGAGTAATAGAGGAGAAAAGAGAGGAACAGCAATATAAATGCATACATTTTTTATGATACATTTAATAAACATATCATTTTTATCCATTTTATTATACTGTTCATCCTATTTATCCCTCTATTAATTACTTGTTTCTTGTGGGGTGTTCCCAGTATGCAGTTGTAAGTATCTAACAAAAGTGATGCAAGGAAGGAAAACCAGTGCACCAGCAACAGGCTCGTGGGTGCCCAAGGCTCATTGATGCACGTGAGGAACAAAGGCTAGCCCACTTGAATCAATCACAAAGAAGAGCTAATATAGCTCAAATTACTGAAAAACATAATGCTGGCCATGCTAGAAATGTATCAGAACACAGTGCATCGTTTGCTGAGGAGCCACATACCAGTCAGAGTGCTCATGATGGCCCCTATCCACTGCTGAAAGTGTCTTCAATGGGGACATGAGTGTCAGAACTGGACCATGGAGCAGTTGAAAAAGATTACCTGGTCTGATGAATCATGTTTTCTTTTAGATCAGGTGGATGGACTGGGTGCATGTGTGTAGTTTACTTGGCAGCAGGATTCACTATGGGAAGAAACCAAGCCGACAGAGGCAGTGTTATGCTCTGGGCAATGTTCTGCTTGGAAACCTTGGGTTCTGGCATTCATGTGGATGTTATTTTGACACATACCATCTGCCTAGAGATTGTTGCAGACTACGTACACCCCTTCATGGCAATGGTGTTCCCTGATGGCAGTGGCTTCTTTCAGCAGGATGTGCCCTGCCACACTGCAACAATTGTTCAGGAATGGTTTGAGGAACATGACAAAGTCTTGCCTCCAAATTCCCCAGATCTTGATCCGATTGAGTATCTTTTAGATGCACTGGAACAACAAATCCGATCAATGACGGCCTTACTTCGCAACTTGTAGGACTTAAAGCAGGGGTGCCCAAAAGGTAGATCCCTAGATGTTGTAGAACTACAAATCCCATGATGCTTTACATGCCTTTAGAAAGCTTTTAAAATCACAAAACATCATGGAAGTTGCAGTTTTAAACCATCTGGGAATCAACCTATTGGGTCACCCTGACTTAAAGTGGTTTGGCCACAAATCTACTTATTGTCATTATTAGCATTTATGTGATGCCAACAGTTTCCACAGCATGTTACAGTTACGCAATGGAGATGTTTAATTATAAGTAAAAGACAAACAACAACAACATTGATAGGAGGTGAATAGGCCTTGAAGTCCAAATTCCATTACTACTGCCTAAATTGTAGTCTCTAACCATAGCTATTTAATCTCTATCCCAGAATTAGATACATCCTAGTCTAGCCCTAACAACTATACCATGTACCTTATGGACACTACACACTTATCCAAACCCTAGTCTTTGAATATTAGACTCCCATAAATCCTACCAAACTCTTATCTCTAAACTTATCATAGCCCCTAGTCCAACCCTAGCTGTTGAAAAAAATGATTGAAAACCAAGCAAACTCTACATGCAAAAAATTACATGCTGATGTAAGATAGAGAATAACATATGAAAAAGGCACCATCAGCACAACTCACAAACTCATGGGATCGGCGTTGCCTGCTAGCCTTTTTTATTCACATGTTGAAGTTTTCCCTAGGTTGGTGTGAGATGGTCTTTATTAGTGAAAATCTCTGTTTAATGTTTATGGAATATTGATTTTTCAGGTTTTTTTTATTGGTGGCTGAAAATCTTATCTCTCTGCGCCTGAATAATTGCATTGATGTAAGAGAGAACCTTCAATCTAGAAATACAAAACAATTTTTTTTAACTTAATAAAGTGGGGGTTTTCTGCTTCACCATTAAATAATATTCTATACTAACATATAAACATCTAGATGTGTATACAGAGACCGTGTCACAAGCAGCTTAACTTTCATTTTTTAAAAAGTAAATTTTAAAATGAACAGACGGAAAGGTAACATATTTTAATATATGCTGCAACGTGTAAATATAATTTGCTCATAGGCCCATTTTAATTTTTTATAGAAAAATGATGCAAAACAAAATTCTACATAGAGGCTTCACTTTAATGTTTGTAATTACATATAAGATCATATCTATTAATGATAAAACAAGTACTATTTTGAGGCCCAAGCGCCAAGTTAGCAGTGATCTCCATGGAAACAAACAGAACACTTTGGAACATTTAACACTTATTCATCATTGATCTTCTTTTGCCTTTACAAAGCTGGCCCTTGGTTCTGTTTTGCCATCTTATGAAAGACTATATAATATTTGTTTCACAATTTCACAAATTGATAAAAAATTATTTAGCAATGGCATAAATTTATCAGCTGCAAGACATAAACTTAATTACGTATGGTCTCCTAACATAGCATGCTGGGAAATGCACGGCGGTTAAAAATTAGCACTCTTCTACGAAGAAGCGTTGGTGATCTCAGTTCTTTTGTGCAGAAATTTGGCTTAATGCCATTGATTTCTACATTAATCTAAAAATAATAATGTCATAGTTGTTATATATGTGCCCTGCGAAAAGGCGTCCACGAGGAAGAGACCCAGTTTACAGGAATGTCATTGATTAGTCTGGTAGACTAGGGGATTATGGAATTAAGATGTCAGTTTCCCGAAATTGCAGATCTATATTTCCTGCTGATTTGCTATTGTTCTACCATTTCCCCTGATATGAATGTGCTTTGAAATTGTTCTTATGACCTTAGCGAGTTGATCTTTCTTCCTACGTATTAGTAGTTTGATTATTTTTTGCATTATTTACCTTGAGAATTCAAAGACTTGTGCATACTAGCATAGAATTACAAAATAAACTCTTAAAGTTTTTTATGTTTCTTATTATCATTAGTATACGGATTGTTAATCCATTGAATTTTATGCTAATGGTTACTGAATTATCTTTTCTATATTACATGTTATGAAGTTTATTGTCACTTTAATTGACCAAATCAATTTAAATCATTAGATTAATTAGTTAAAGCACCTGTCAGGATACATTTATTACAATTTCTAAGTCCATTAAATTTTATCTATAAACTTTACTGGCAGAAATGCTAGCAAATTTTAGACAGTGAAAACTATTTAGAATTAGGTCCCTCCCCCTCCTATCAATCAATGCTTCAGTAAAACTGATTGCCACGAACCAGTAGCAGAGATGGTTCTCCTGCTCTCTGGCACGACAAATACAGCAGCGTGGTTTTTTGGTTACTTCTCTAGCATGCACTCCTTGAACTGTCTGTAGAAGTACAGGAATGATGTCACTCTGCTCAATTGTCAAACTGATGGAGAGGTTTGCCCAAGCTGTGCCGATCAAATCAGAATGCCTGGGGTCAAAGGCAGGAACAGAGGCGAGGGGTCTATAAAGGTGCCGAGACCATGGAGCTTTGAACATGGCAGTGAGGGAGCGAAAACAAAAGGTTCTAGATCTCAAAGCTTTTAACTATTTACCTATTTATTGTCTACGAGTGAGTTTTAGTTAAAGTGAACTAGTCATGACAAAACCACTTTAAGAAGAAGAGGGAGAATTTTATTTACTGAATGTTTTTACTACAAGAGATTTAACACTATGGAATAAATCTATTCTAGTTTTATATTGGGGAGAGGGGGTGTGTAACAATTATGCTACCTCTATTCCTAAAATTTCATAAACACCCCTAACATTGCTCTTTTAACCATTAACCTGTCACTAGTAGTATTTATATAAAATGTCCATTGTGTGTGGAGATGTAATGTACTGATATATCAATTTCACTAGCCAATTCAACTATGACATAAGAAGGCTATATTGAGTATTTGGAACCAAGATAGTGTATTATTTGTGTATTATTATTTTTTTTTTGAGTCCACACAATTAGGTACGGAATAATATAGGGATAATAGAGCTGAAGCTATAGACCCATGCCCATAGAATAGGCTCATTGATTTAATTAATTTTTTTCTTTTTTACTACTTTTCACTTGCCCTTGCATTGTACAGAGGGAATTAAACATGGAAACCTACGAGGGGTCTAGGCGAACAAAACCTGTGTGGTCTGGCTGACTATAAATTAGTCAAGGTAAAGCTGACTTTGCACACTGTATAAATACTCTTGCTGCTTTGGACTCTAACAGTGTGACATGTCCCCTTAATTATACTTTCACATCTACCTTTTTATATGTCCCAGACTGCATACCAAGAGCTTCTGGCTGCTCCTAGTTGGCCAGCCTGCTGAATGGCAGGTTGCCTGGCATTTATTCACTCCAGACTGACCTTCCAATTCTACGGGTAGACTTGCATCCTTTCCAGGCAGGTCTGCCCCTTTGGGCAGCAACAGTGATGTGATTGACGTCACTAGCCCGCCTCTTTATACCTACCCACTGACATCATGCTTCATAGAATGTAGATGTTTGGGGGATGTTTGGTTGAGAGATGAAATTGAGAGATTAGCATAGGGTATGTGTATTCTTACGAATGTATCCTGTGAGTTTCACTCTGGCACCACCTCCAACAGATACATGACACTTGGGAGGCCCTCTACACTTTCTTGGAGCATGTATTAAAACTCAGTCTTTATTAAACCATTATTTGTTATGTAAGAGTCATGACAGTCAAATAAAAAAAGAAAAAAGAAATGCAAACTAGTTCTTATTGCATAAAGGTATATTGTATTTCAGAAACCTACATAATAAAGATATTTAAGATTGGGGCAATTATAAAAAATATTATGGTGATTGTGAAAAATAAACAAATATAAGCAGTTTGATAGGTAGAGATGCACTGAAAATCTCCATGTCTGCTAAACAAGTGATGTGCCAGTAATTCTTTAACTGTTTGAATATAAAAAATAATTGACCTTGAAGTATGCTGTATGCTTGTTTTCCTTTAATTGTTAGTAAAGCCCTAACGTGTTCTCTCACCTATGCTTCAATCATTTACAATTCTCATTAGCCATATGGTATACAACTTCTCAAAGTGGAGTCATGCAGCATGTGTTTAATTTAACATATGTATAATGGGTTTAATCTGGGACAGTCCATTCTTGGCAAGACTTTGAAGGCATTGTCTTCCTAGAATTATAATGTAACCACAGCTGGTGGTCCGTGGTTGGACACACCTGGGTTATATCCATTAATAAGAATGCAAAATTCCATTAACCTCTGTATAGGGAAGGGGTGAGCAACCTTCAGCACTCCAGATGTTATGGACTACATCTCTCATAATGCTCGTACAGCCATGATGCTGGCAAAGCACCAGGGAGAGATAAGGATAAAATATATAAATACAGGGTAGATGGCATAGCCTTAAATAGAGATTTAAATTTTTATAGATTCCTATGTTAACTTTAGACTCCTTTAATGCCTAAAACATACCTAATGGAGTTCATCGTTTAACGTGTGAGTGAATTCTGAAGAAGCTCTTAAAGGAACACTCCAACCACCATAGCAACTACATCAAGCTGTGCCCATGTACACCCAATGTAAGTAATCAGAATGTTTAGGAATGGTTTGACTTCTTTCCAGGATTCCACAAGGCTCTGTGATAAGCCCCGCAGTGCAGGGCTTAGGTCATTAGCTGAGCTATCAGCTGACACGCTCAGCTGCGCGGCATAGCTCAGAAGAGCAGGGGCTTCCAGCTTCCATCATAGCAGGAGTTTCCGGGTCTCCCTTAGGCTGAGAGGGAGTGGTGCCCAAGGTTAGACTTACAACTTTTGCTTACTATACTTTCCTTCTACAGTAATGCAAGGTAAATAGTATTAAGTATATCTGTCAGTACAAAATGCACATATACATACATATATAACCTGTATATCTACTCCACTTACTGTATAGTTACATTAATGCTTTTTAACCTGTATAGCGAAGTACACTTGTTAGCTCAGCAGTTTTAGACTTGTGCATTCGGTTCAAACTAATCACGATTCGTCCAAATATTGGAAAATTAATAATTCATCCAAATTCCGCAAATCCAACCTTTCATATGGATATATCACAAAACAAACGAAATGGGCAATGATTTGGAGTTCTGTCCATGGCACCAGAACAAGGGGGAGAAAATGGAGATGGAGCTGATTTCTTGTGGGGGTGGAGGGAGCAATTAAGCAGCTTAGTTTGCCATGATGGTGTGGCACTCACAGGGGGCCCATCGGGGGGCCCATGTACCTTTGCACACAATCCTCCGTGGCAGCACTAAAAAATTATATCACTTTCTCTATGCGCTCTCTGGAAGGAGGGAGCCCATTACTGTGTAGAGCCTGGGGCCAGTTTCTGCATAACCACAATCAACAAAAAGGAGCAGGAAGCAGCAGCATGCCTTTGTGGGTTACTGAGTGTATGTATGGGTCACTGTGTGTGTGTGCGGGTCACTGAATGTATGTATGGGTCACTGTGTGTGTGTGCAGGTCACTGAATGTATGTATGGTTCACTATGTGTGTGGGGGGGGTTACTGAATGTATTTATGGGTCACTGTGTGTGGGGAGGGTCACTGAATGTATGTATGGGTCACTGTGTTGGGGGGAGTCACTGTGGGTGAGTGTGTATGGGTCACTCTGTGTGTGTATGGGTCACTGAGGGTATGTATCGGTCAGTGCGTATGTATATGTGTATCTGTGTCAGTATGTGTGTATCTGTGTCAGTATGGGAGTGTATCTATGGTTTCAGTGTGTGTGTATCTGTGTCAGTATGTGTGTGTATTTGTGTGTTTATGTATCTTTGTCAGTATGTGAGTGTATCTGTGTGTGTGTCAGTGCGTGTATCTGTGTCAGGATGTGTGTGTGTATGTGTATCTATGTATGTATATGTCTGTATTCATATCTGTGTCAGTATGTGTGTGTGTCAGTGTGTATGTGTACTTATGTCAATATATTTGTATATCTGTGTTTGGCAGTGTATGTGTATATGGCAATACATCCAGGCCTTCAAACACCAGCACAATACACAAATACACCCCTGCATTCAAATGCCAACATTACCCACAAATGCACAACTGCATGCAAAGGCCACAATTACATACACACACCACTACATTCAAATGGCAACAGTACATACAAATACACTACTGCATTCAAAAACACACATATTTAATGTAGAAATATGCTTACATTCAAAGACACATACATTGCTCACAAATACAACCCTGCAAGGATTTGAAAATGCTAGATCTCTGCCTTGCAAAGCAGGAGTTGTACAATAGTTAATGATCTACCATTTAGCCATTCTTGCGCTAGAGGGGTCCAAAAAATACTTCTAGCACCAGGGCACCATTTACATCAGTTCTGCCGCTGTGCCCTTAGTAATGCAAATAAACACTGATGATTACTTCGTTTTAGAGAAGTCTTTTACTGTGTTCGCCTGTAACATGGGTAATTCCCAGAAGAGCAGCTGGAATATATCTAAGTTTCATGTCAGCAAAGATCCTTTTTGCATATATTTGGTAATAAGTTCAAAAGGGTCTAAACATTTTCTTTACTAATAAATAATTGCTAAATGTGTTCCAAGAGTCTGTTTTATTTCATAGTGTATAGCTTACTCAAGAATGCACTCTTCATCCTGACACAAACCAATCTGGTTCTACAGAAGTTTCTGACTTTTACTATCAACCAAAATGATGAAATAAAATTATATAAAAATGTAGCGTAAGCTTATTTTATCTGCAGTTTGGAAATGAAGAAGAATGTGGCAGGAATTCATCAATGGTTCTACAGAAGGTTCTACAGAAGTTTCTGACTTTTACTATCAACCAAAATGATGAAATAAAATTATATAAAAATGCAATGTAAGCTTATTTTATCTGCAGTTTGGAAATGAAGAAGAATGTGGCAGGAATTCATCAATGTCTTTCTCCATATATGTGCTCTTTCTTATAAATAAAAAGCCAGGTAGGGGATGCGCAGATGCTACATATATTAACATCATATATAACAGGCCTCCCAACTGCCTTAATTCTGTCAGGACAGTCCTGATTTCCGGGTCCTGTTCTGCCATCTTGACTGTCCCCAACAACCATTGACAATATATTGACATAGACAATATTAGGTTCAGGGCTCCAGGACCTGTCAGTGAGCAGTGAAACCGTGCTCCCTGCAGGATCTGTCCTCAGTGGGCTGACCTTTGATGATTGGTAGGCATGCCAGGCTGACTTACCAGTAATTTGGGGAGACCCACCCCTTTTCTAGACAGGTTAGCCCCCTTTGGGTGGAGCCAGTGACACAACTGCATCACTGGACCGCTCCCTTTACACCTTTCCAATTCTCGGGATGCAGAAATAGGGAATTATGTACATAATGATTGTGTTTGGCAGGCTCCAAAGGTAAGTGGAACCCCAGCAAATCTTCAAATGTGTGCAAATGTATTAGATACTAAACACGATTACCGCTACTGCACACTGCACTGGTTAATGGTAACCTTGTGTGTCTGGCTCTGATCTGAACTGGTATGGTAGAAGTAGCGGTTCACACTTCTGTCACGATCATGCCAACTTATATCAAGCTGAGACAATACTGATTGGCTGAGCTTGTTGTCTAACACTACAATGGAGCCAATGAATAATGTCCCAACTTAATATGATAAAGCGAAAGAATGAACTTCCATTTCTTACTATACTAGCCCAGACCAGAAGCAGTGTGGATGGCCAACAGAGCCAGATAACTGTCACACTGTTCTTCAATAGTGTGGAAGTTTACTGTCGGGCCCGGGTTGTAGCTAGGAAGAGGCTGACCCAGCCTGGAGCCGCAAGTACTATCCTGAGAAGCAGGGGTCAATTGTAGCACATTTTCATTGTTAACCCAGAATCTCTTGAAGATCTGGAATTCGAAATGGTCTTTATGTCTCAGTATTACAGTGCCTACAATGGCAGATTTTCCAATAATCCATCCTACTGATCCTCTCATTTATCTATTTGCAAATTATGTAGTAATGTAATAAGTTGACATACTAGATATAGTGTTAAAAAGCAAAGACATATAGAGTGGAAGACCCTGGCCATTTTTTTAATATATTTGTGGAGCAGCTTTGGGAAGGAAGACTAGAAGAGAGCTGAGTGGATGACCAGGGTAATAGGCATGTCTCCCAAAGTTCGGATCATTGCCACTAGGACGAATACGTAGCGTGTCCCGAGAATGTCATCTTAGTGATACAATGCACATCACTGCTGCAGGACTCTGGCCCCATGCAGCCAATTGCCTTGTTTTAGTAATACAATTATACTTATTGTATGTGGGCATTAAACCAACATGCAGATATTACTGGCATGTCAAATCTGCTAAATTGTCATAATCTTTAGAACTACCCATAAGTGTTTTTTTTTAACTATTTTAACTTATTTTTGTCACACTTATAGAATGTGATACAGATGGTATTTTGCTGGTATTCAAATGGTATTTCTGTAAGAAATACTACAAGATAAGAGATACCCCCAGTAAATAAATACAAAAAATAAATTGGGACATTTTTTTTATCATTTAATTATCCCTTTTTTGTTTTGTTTTGCTTGTTTTTTCTCTCTCAGCATTAGTGCTCAAGGTTTATTAAAACTATAAGTTTGACATCAACAGAAAAAAATAATCCTTTTTTGCTTTTCTCACTGAGAACCAAGAGAAATAAGTGTCAATATGACTTCAAATAAATCTTCAGGGAATTAATCCCAAATAAAGAGAGAAAAAAGATTTTACAAAATGTGAGAAAGGCGTATCGACATTCTTCCACATTTTCTTACCACTAGGTATGAAAGTCAAAAAATCAAATGGATAATTCAGTTTTACAAATGCAAGATCTCTCAAAGAAAGATCTCAGGACAAATTCCATCAGATAAGCTGCACGATTCATCAAATAATATTTTCTGGCATTGGGCTTGCGAAAGATGAACATAAACAAAAAAATGTACAAATGCCATAGATTAATAAGTAGCCCAAGACTCTTCCAAACCATATCCCAAGATAAGTGACTGTCTGCTTCCACACTTATGAGTTAATTTTAAAAGCAAAAAGAAATACAAAACTAACAGAAGGAAGGTTTCAAGACATAAGAATATTAACTGATGTTTCTTATTTTACAAGAGCTAAAAGAACTGTGGCTTCTGCTATCAGCATTCAGAGACAATTGTCTCACATTACGATCGATTTGAATCTTTTAGCTCTTTGTAACAAGCTAATGAGTTGCTGAGACAAAAATAAGTTATTTTATTAGTTCCTTTATATATTTATACCTTTTTTATATTTTTTTTACTGTAGTACTTATATTGTAAACAATGCTAAAGATATTTTTGTATATTATCATAACTTTAGAGGTATTTTTCTGAGACTTTAACTTTTTGTATATATCACTTACATTTGTATATATCACATTATGAAAGCACTTGTTAAAAAACACAATTTATATATATTTTTTCCACAGTGCATAAACACAATTTTTTGGTATTTTTATGAGACTTTTTTATAGTCTTATTAATTTGTATTTATTTATTTAAAATACTTATATCGAAATTAACACTAAAGATTTCTATGTATATATTATTTTTATGACTTTGGATGTATTTTTAAGACCACTATTAATAATCTTCTCAAATAGCTTAAACACAGTTCTTAACACTTATATGAGACTCTTATTACACATGTTTAAAATTGCATTCTCACTGCAGTACTAATATGGTAAATAATGTTAAACATATTTTTGTATAGATTATTAGCACAATTTTTGATGTACTCTTTCTAGTTATATATATTTAGTAATAGATTTTAATTCATTAACATCACCCGACCATGTGTACAAGTTTATAAATAAGACTATACATAAGACACAAGGTCATGCATTTAGATTGGAAGAAAGGAGATTCAGTGCAAGGCAAAGGAATTGGTTCTTTACAGTGAGAACGATAAGGATGTGGAATTATCTGCCTGAAGAGGTGGTTTTATCAGAGTCTATACAGATGTTTAAACAGCAATTGGATAAATACTTGCAAAAAAACATAATATTCAGGGATATAATTTTTAATTAGTGGGGTAATAGCTTCTTGATCCAAAGACTGCCATTCTGGGGTCAAGAAGGATGTTTTTCCTAGTTTGTTGCAAAATTGGAAGTGCCTCAAACTGTTTTTTTTAGTCTATATTTGGATCAACAGCAAAAACAAATGTGAGAAAGGTGTGAACTTGATGGGTGCCTGTCTCTTTTTGCCTATGTAACTATGTAAATATTTACTTAGTGAACACTAGATCTCAGTATTTTGGTTATGATTAGAGTCTTTTAAAGGTTTTACTCCTTTCTTCTTTAGTATATATATATATATATATATATATATTTTATTTTTTTTTTTTTATGGGTGCTAATTATGGAAGATACTGAATTCCATTATGATTAGGTTTTGATCTCTAAATGAGCTGAGACTGAATACTAGTAACAAAAGACATTTAATATATAATATCATAATTAGAAAAAAAATACAAATTGATTTTCTACTAAAAACTCATTGGACAAATACAAGAAAGCAGATTCTGTCTAAGGCAAAGGAAAATGGTTCTTTACAGTAAGAACAATAAGTGGAAATCTCTGCCTGAAGAGGTGGTTTTATCAGAGTCTGTACAGTTGTTTAAACTGCAATTGGATAAATACTTAATACAAAAACATAATATTCAGGGATATAATTTTTTATTAGCGGGGTAATAGCTGCTTGATCCAAGGAGACATCTGACTGCCATTGTGGGGTCAAGAATGATTTTTTTTTTTTTATTGTTTGTCTGGGGTTTTCTGACTTCTTTTGGATCAATAGCAAAAACAGATGTGAGAAAGGCTGAACTTGTATGGGTGCCTGTCTCTTTTTGGCTATGTAACTATGTAAATATTTACTTAGTGAACACCAGATCTCAGTATCTTTGTTATGATTAGTGCTTTTCAGTGGTTTTACTCCTTTTTTTAGTAGTGTATATAGTGTGTATAGTTTATAGTGTAGATATTTGTTATGGGTACTAATTATAGAAGATATTGCATTCCATTATAATAGGTTTTTATTTACAATTGTGCAGAGACTAAATCCTACTAACAAAATACATTTAATGTATATTATCTTAACTAAAGAAAAATACAAATTAGTTTTCTACAAGCAACTCATTGGACAAAAACAAGAAATGAACAATGGGGAGTGAAGAGATTTACTGAAGTTTTCCAAGGTTATATGGAATACAAAAAGAAACGTGGGGTGGCTATTGCAATTTCCCATTCAGTAAATTTTAAGATGATCTATCAAAATCAGGATATTGCAGCCCATCATCTGATTATTGTATGTAAAATTAATAATCAAGTCTACACACTGATTAATGTTTATTTACCTAATATCAAGCCAATTATTGTCTGCGTAAAATTCTTGCCAAATTGGATCAATTCAAAAAGTTAAACTACTGATTGAGAGCGATTTTAATTTTTTCATGGATCCATTTCTCAATATAAGATTACCAGAGGGAGATATTAGAATAATAAAACAAGCAAATCATTTCCCCACTTTGTGCAAAAAAAAAAACCAGACTGTGTGATATTTGAAAAGTTTAAAACACAGCAAGATAGCAAACTATATATTTGTCAAAAGTCTATGTCAAGATAAGATAATGCCTGGTCTGACCATGGCATTGTCATTATAGATGTAAATCAATTGCGTAATTTAAATAGATGTACTTGGAGATTAAATTAAAATCTCTTTTATAAAAAAGGTAATGTAGAATACATAAAATAAATTGCTGTTTCTTTAGAGAAAACATACAGATAATATCGCAAATGCTGCTGTATTGTGTACATATAAAGCCATTATTAGAGGTTACATTATAATGATGGATAAAAAAAGAAAGAGTTCAACAACTAACAGATATTTTGCATCCAACTATATGGTATATCTGCTGTAAATAAAATTAGTCCAACCAGAGGCGTAACTAGAAACCTCGGGCCCCCGTGCGAAAATTGCCCCAATGTGTCTCATTTCCCCATGTGTCTCATTCCCTCCCTCCAGGCCCCCCATGTGTCTCATCCCCCCGCAAGTGTCTAATTTCCTACCCCCATGTGTAACATTTCCTCCCCCAATCCCCTCCACATGTCTCATTCCCCCCTAGACCCTTAATGTGTCTCATCCCCCCAAAAGCCCCTCCATGTGTCTCATTTCTCCTAGGCACCTCCGTGTCTTTCTCCCCCTCCACTCTTGCCACTCCATGTGACTATCTACCCTCTTGCAGCCCCTCCATTTCTCTCTCCTTCTCCCTTTCCTTGTAGCCATTCCATTTCTCTCCATCCTCCCCTCCCCTGCAGTTTCTCAAATTCTCTCTCCCCCACCATTTACCTGGGCCCCTCCATTTTTCTCTCTCCCTTTCCATGCAGCCCCTCCATTTCTCACCCCTTACCCCTGCAGACTCTCCATTACCCCCCTTCCTCTGCAGACTCGCCATCCCCTCCCCACCACTGCAAACCCTCCATTTTCCCATTCCCCCTTACCTGTTTTCCGCGATTGTGGTACCCATCTGAGTGTGACAGGAAGTGCTCTCTCAGTGCAACACTACACACAGCGGCAGGAGGGGAGCAGCACAGCACATCGCTCCCCTCCTGCCGGTTAGCCTGCGACCGCAGGGCCCTACTGGTGCGGCTGAGTACCGGCCCTAAAGGTATTCTGGCAGCCTACGGCCGCAGGGATTGCAGTGGCGGTCAGGCCCCCTGGAGTGATGGGCCCGGTCGCAGCTGAGACCCCTGCAACCCTGGTAGTTACGCCACTGAACCCAACACAAGAAAACATCAAACATTAAAAAAAGTAATATAGAAGTAATAGAAAAAATGAATCAGTGCTTACAAAGATTAAGATTAAATATTCTAACGAATAACTTAAAAGTGAACAGATTAAATAATAAGATATGAAAATTGAGTGGGAAATAACATGTCTATGTCAGAAACAATTAGTCAGGTGCTTATTTTTGATATTGGAATGATGTTTCTTGTCTTACTTTTTTTTTTTTCTTTTTGTATGTTCTTGAACTAAATAATTTTGAATGAAGAGAAATATTAAAACAAGTACCCTGAACAGAAATCTATGCACCAAATCTATATTTTGATCCTGGCGTGCTAGATTCAGTCATGTGAGCACTGATTTTTCTTTTTTTCTGTAAATCATCTCTATTAAAAAGCCTGTATAGATACAGAATAAAAACATAAAAAAGTGGAAAAAAAGTATTTTCTTCTTTCGATAAATGCGACCTTATAGGGACAGGGTTAAGTTTCTTGTATTGCTCTATAAGAAACAGTGTATCATGGTAAACTGCTGCTTTGACAAATTGAGAATACTATTTCCTACATTCATCAGAGAAGCACAATCCGGTATTGATATTTGTACATTTATGAATAGCTGTTTGTGTCTACAAATGACCAGCCATACTTTACACCAAGAAATGGTTGGAAAAATAGAACCCAGAACAATATGATCTATAATATCAGCACTATAGTAACTAGTTTTAACCTATCACTCTGCCCACAAAGCTTAAAACCCTTGTACTGTTTAATAAAGATCGGGCATTTTCTGAACTGACTCCCTTGTATGTCTCTAAATAGTGTTCCCAAGTATTTGGGGCATGGCAAGGTCTGGATAAAACTATACTTGGCAGTCCATGGCAGATTGTCTGGTGATTATCTAGGAGTATGTATCAATAATTATTATTTATTTATTTATTTATAATTTAAATATCTTCATGTAATTATTACAGCAGCCGAAAATTTGTCAAAACTCTAATTATCAAGCCTCTCAATACAAACCACATCAAATGTTTTAATAATTAAATCTACTTTTAGCACTTTTTTTTCTACTCCAATTGAGCTATACAGCTCACTAATACAGCATGTTCGGTTCCGGACAACCACTGTAATGCAAATATCACTGTAAAGTGAATAACAGACTTGTTTCACTTGTTAGTGCATATAAAAACCTTAAAACATTTTACTCTATCATACATTATATGTAAACTAAGTGTGCAATAGCAATAAAACAAAAAAACATGTTAAAGTAAAAATAATAAATAGTCACCACTATTTGCATTGGTAACCTTAAAATAGGGGCAATACAGGAATGTCATCATTTTAATATTATTGAGAAACACTGTATTCATAAAACACTGTAAAACGCTATAAAGTGAGTTATTACTGCATCTTATATACATGGCTGTAGTTACTGGATGTAAAGGAATTCGTTATCTCACCACGGTGTGTTTCTACAGAAATAATGTGGATGAATAGTGGCACCAATTGTTTATGAATTAAAAAAGGACGGTGTCCCAATCTCTTGTGCTAAGCAGGGCCTCCGATTTCACATAGCGAAAACAAACTGTTTTTGAATAGTTTGTAAAAGTGATGCAACATATTGTTTTAAATGAATACACGAGAGAGCTCTGTCTTAGCTATTGAATTATTGAACTGAGATTTCGTTTTTTTGGTTACACTGACGACTAATGTGCTTCCTGTCCCATCTGGCTTCTTCAGGCAAACAACACCACGCATGAACTCTAGGGAGGCATTGCTTTACATCCCATACACATCTGAAAGGAACAGCTGCAGCATAATTGTATTGCAGATTCTAAGAAATATGGTGACATTTTAAGGTTATTTTTTTTTTTTTTAGATTTTTCACCCCCCTGTGCAAACATTATTGCGCGTTGGATGATCAGGAAAGAAAAAGAAAAAAATGAAATATACTTTATAATATCACCTGCATTCTGCTATTCAATGTGGCCCATGATGTATGATACAGCGTTGGTGTTAAATGTGCCACTGAGAGAAATCATCGAAATATTTCCTCCGCACAGCACAGCTCCACAGGTGGGAATTCCCTTTACGTTCCAGCTGTTGTGTTCTCAAGATGTTCCCCCAGCTGCTGGCCGCAGTCCACAAAAGCAGGAGAGCTGCAGTTTAGCCATCACTGACCTATAGGATGGAATATAAACCGTGCTCCTTAAAATCATCTTATCGCATTTTATAAAAATAACAGTCATTTCGTTATAAACACAACTATCCATGGAATTCTGACAGCGATGTATATATTGTGTCTTGCATTGATTGATTTGTCCAAAAATAATTAAAGCAGAAAAAAACCCACAAATGTCCTGCAGTGGGTGTAAGCCACAAATCGCAAACATACACTAAAAAAAAATTGAATTTTGGGACAGGGTACACAGTTGAATGTAATTGTTGTAAGCTACCCATCTATGGCCATACCCTTAACCCAAAACAGTACAAAACACTCACATATGTTGAGAGTGTTGACAGTGAGAAGATATCATTATATATTGAATATGCTAGTGTCTGGTTCTCCCATTCACTGCACACCAAAGAGGCATAATAGCAGGATGTAGAGGAGATCAACACTAGTTACTATAAAACGGTCTCACTGTTCCCTCAAACTGTAAGATGACAGTAAGGAAATATCGTAGATAAGTATCAAGACCTTCTAAAATGGCAAGAATTACCCAAAAAGAAGATGTCAGAGAAGCCAGTGCAAAAATCAGTTCCAATATGTCATGGGTAGCAATGAGGGCACAATGCTCAAAAGCTATATCTGCGCTAAAGTGGCTACCACATAGAATATAGTGTATACATGAGGATAATAGCTGCTGCCTAAATATAACATGGCTTACATGCCTACCAGTTACCAAAGTACATAAGCTGTAACAGCCCACAAATACCATGACTTACAAGCCTACACATTACACACTTGTCCCAGAAGACTCAACCAGAGATAGAATGTAAATATCGATTTTTCTTACTTTAAAGGAACACTCAGGGACGTATTAGCTGCGAGGCTAACAAGACATTTGCCTTGGGCGGCATTTTTCAGGGGGCGGCAAAAACGCCGCCCCCCAAATGCCCAGGGCAAATGCCTTGTTAGCCTTGTGGCTAACTGACATGCCGGTCGGGCGGGCGGCACTGGCAGGCGGCTGGCGAGGGAGCACTTCTTCTGAGCGGTCTGCTCAGCTCCCTCGCGTGCCGCAGAGTGAGGCTGGGAACCGGGTCGATGACGTCATATTCCGGCTCCCAGCCTCACTCTGCAGCACGCGAGGGAGCTGAGCAGACCGCTCAGAGGAAGAGCTCGCTCGCCAGCCGCCTGCCCAGCAGCCACTGGACCCCAGGGAGTGAGGGAACCCCCCTCCCCCAGCATTCCCAAAGATAAGGAGGCTGGGGGGGGGGGTTTAAATAAAAAAAAAAAGTGTTAATGTGAGTGTGTGTGTGTGTCTGACTGTGTGTGTGTGTTTGTGTCTGACTGTGTGTGTTTGTGTCTGACTGTGTGTTTGTGTCTGACTGTGTGTGTGTGTGTGTGTGTGTGTGTGTGTGTGTGTTTGTGTCTGACTGTGTGTGTGTCTGACTGTGTGTGTGTCTGAATGTGTGTGTGTGTGTCTGAATGTGTGTGTGTGCGTCTGAATGTGTGTGTGTGTGTGTGTGTGTGTGTGACTGTGTGTGAGTGTGTGACTGCGTGTGTGTGTGTGTCTGACTGTGTGTTTGTGTCTGACTGTGTGTGTGTGTTTGTGTCTGTGTGTGTGTGTGTCTGACTGCGTGTGTGTGTTTCTGACTGTGTGTGTGTCTGACTGTGTGTGTGTTTCTGACTGTGTGTGTGTCTGACTGTGTGTGTGTGTCTGTGTCTGACTGTGTGTGTCTGTGTGTCTGACTGTGTGTGTCTGACTGTGTGTGTCTGTGTGTCTGACTGTGTGTGTGTGTATGTATTTAGAAGGTGGGGCTGGGGGGAAGGGTTGGGTGGGGGTGGCACGGAGGTAGGAGGCGTCTGAGTTTTGTCCTGCCTAGGGCAGCACAAAACCAGGATACACCACTGGGAACACTATAGGGTCAGGAACCTAAACATGTATTGCAGACCCCATAGTATTAAAACCACCATTAAGGTGACTATCCCTCCCTTAGCCCCTCTATAAAATAATAAAACTTACCTTATTTCCAGCAGCGCATGGGTCTGCAGGCTCTGGCACCGCCCCCATTCTTTCTCCTTGCTGACTTCATCAGAATTTATAATTTTAGCCAATCTGAAAAAGCATTGGATAGGCTGAAATTGACAAGGAGGCTGGATGGGGGCGGGTTCAAATGCCGGCTTGGCCAATCAGCACCTTCTCATAGAGATGCATTGAATCAGTGCATCTCTATAAGGAAAGTTCAGAGTCTCCATACAGAGCATAAATACACTGAATGGCAGTGTTGCATACTGTGCAGCTTTGCTCACGAAGCACCTCCAGTTGCCATCTGAAGAGTCGCCACTGGTGATATCTATCCATAGGGAATAATGCAAATACTACCTTTTTTTCTGAAAAGGCAGTGTTTACATGAAAATGCCTGCAGGGAATGGTATACTAACCAGAACAAACACATTAAGCTATGGTTGTTCTGGTGACTATAGTGTCCCTTTAATATATTTTTCTCTTTTTAACAAAAGAGAAGCTTAATAAACATGCAACTACACAAATGTGCTTTGGCTTCAATAAGAAAAAATAATAATCTATAATTCCAGTTTATTAACCAACCCAAATGGTATTCCAGTGAATCTAGGGTGTCCAATGATTTCCTATTCTTCTAGCTGTCCTCTGAAATCATTTGATTGACAGACCTGACAACAACAACACAATACTAAACAATGACAGCATAATGCATTGTTAATGTAATCTGCATTGCCTTGTGCATTAAGCATTAATTGACACTTTCAAGCAATACAGCTTTTGGTACTCTAGCAAATACATTTTCTACATCACATACCAAAACATCAACAGCAATCCCAATTGATAGGTATGTATGTGCACTTTTTAGAAACATTAGAACATTACATGTGATCTTGCAAGTACCCATTACTGAAAAGGCTAAAAAAAAATGTGTGGTTTAGAGAAAAATGCTTTTCTTGACAAAAAGCAAGTATCTAAGTGGGTGTAAGTGAACTCAGGAGAGCCTGGGTTAATTAGTGTATATTGCATTATTAATCCTTTAGGGAATGCACTGGAGATATGTAGACGGGAACTGGGTCTAGCAAAAATCATAATAGATATGAGAACGTGTTTATTTATTCAGTTATTTATTGTGTATTAAGTAAAAGAGGAATTGTGTCTGAGATAACAGTATTTTTGGAATCTATCAGTTTAAAGTAGCTACCAATAATGCTATTTATGATGGTTTTTTGTAATAATTAAAATTGCTCACTGGATGCATTATGCAATTTTACATATACCAAAATACAATCTCACAAAGACCACCCTTGCGGTACAGTCCTACTTAAAAGAAACACTTTTACAAGAACTGAGTCAGATACCCAGTACAAATTGAGCAAGACAATCAAAAACTGATAAGGAATTAACTTTTCACAATGTTACACAAAGATTTTACAATTGTTCCTGTTATGACTTCTCTTGCATTTCTGGGATTTTTCTTCTTACATTGGGCTTAGTTAATCAGAAATAATAAAGTTGAAATTTTGTAGGAGCAAACTGCCAACGTATACTCAAGACTCACAGATGCTCTGAAACAGATAATTGAATTTCAAAATGTATAGTTGTATTTAGTGTCAACTTCGCATTGATTAAGTGGTGTTGGTATAAAGATTATGTACCTGCAATCTAACTATTCCCTTCTCTGCCAGTTGGGAGGTAAATCACTTTGTTTTTTTGGAGCCCAAGTCACACCTCTCCCACATTTTACCTATGCAGTTCCCCTACACATTTCCTGTATAGCAAGATCGAAGGTTTAAACTTCTTTTATTGCACAGTGTGTTGATTTTAGAATTTCTTATCTCCTGCTTTGTTAGTAGCCTGCTATACCTAGCAATAGCATCCTGTGCATGATTTAAGTTCAATGTCTAGAGCAGGAGTTAAACATATCTAAAGTAAACACAGTGCCCTGTCATGTCTGATTTAATATTAAAACATTTTTTAAGTGGAGGTATGGGAAAGGTGGCATAAACAGAAACAAAAGTGATTTAACTCCTAGATGGCAGATATTTGAACAGTGAGTCTGCATGGGGTTTATACAACAATACTGTTTCATTAAGCTAAAGTTGTTTTGATGCTTAGAGTATCTTTTCAACTATTTGCAACTCTATGATGCCCATCTCCATTGTCCAAATGAGGACATACCTTTAAAAGATTATGTCAAGGGCAGACCCTTAAAAATTTTAAGAATGCGGCCACCTCCCATCATAGCTAATCACCTCAATGGGTATTCTCCAGCCCTATTTCATTAAGAGGGTGACATGTTTCCCTATAACTTTGGATGTTGGATTTTTAATTAACTATATTGTAAATGTTCAGGTCAAAGCTAGCTGTAGGGAATTATTTCATTAAGAGGCTTCTTGCTGTGGCTAAATATTAGAGCAGCTGTTAAAACATTATTAGTGTTTGCTCAAGACACTGATCGTAAATCAGTTCATTTAAAAATGTATTTATAGAGTCAAAGTTTTTTGCAGTAAATCCATATGGGGTATGCTTTGGTAAATATTTATACAGATCTTTAAATATAATCATAATAATAATAATCGTGCAGTGGCAGGAGACATTCCTAGTACATGGGTCTAAAATATAATATCCCTTGAGGTTAAAGGTTAATGTATGAAGAGCAAGAAAGTAAACTGAAAAATCTGGAGAAAAAAATAAAAACCATTAAAATGTTTAGTTTTTTTACATTTTTTTCAGATAACCAAAAAAAAGGTCAAAGCAGAGCCTAATTAAAAAAAAAAAAAAAGATAATTTTTAATGCTGAAATTTGCCCCTGACATTATTTGTGGAAACCATACACATTCATGGCAAGCATAGAAGACATGCTATCTGCAGTTATCATGCCACATTGCTCATTTGTGTCGACAAAGGCTTTTTGTTTTCAGAGAATGTAGTCAATCAGTGTATTCCACATGGAAGACTTAGTTTATTTCTAATAAGAATAGATAAAAGGTTAGGATCCTGATAAACAATGGTGGTAGAGATATTCCCAAAACATAAAACCTTCACAGCTGAGATGGTAACCAAATGATTCACACACAGCACACTGAATTCATTCACACTCTTTGAAATTTCCTCCTTTTAGTTTGTTACAGATCGGAAGTTGATTTAATTGGAATTTATAATTTTTGTGACATACCCCTTTCTTCAAAAGCGCAGACTATTTCACATTGCATACAAAATGTAATTAAACTAAAACAGCAATATTTGCTGGATGCATAATCATTTACCCAATAAATCATTAATCAACCCGAGTTAGCTATTTACTTTTTAAATTACTTTTAGTAAATGCCACTGCAAGAAAAACAGAGAATATGGCAACTCTGAGACCGGGTAAAAGCTTAGAGAAAATAGTGTAATGGTCGAGTGCTTTCTATCACTTACTCTAACTTGTGGGGCTTTCAAACAGTTTGTGCCAGTATACAACAAAGCAAAAAATAAAACAAGATAGTGTAATACAGTATTTAAAACACCCTATGTGTATATTGAACACGAGATGGTCCACTCACATATATTAGAGTCTAATTTAAAGGTTCAAATACTTTGCCTATATGTGCCTTTAAAGGACCACTATAGTTCCAGGAAAACATACTCTCTGAAACTGCTATGTTTATTTAAAAAAGGGTTAATCCTAGCTGGACCTGGCACCCAGACCACTTCATTAAGCTGAAGTGGTCTGGGTGCCTAGAGTGGTCCTTTAAGGTGTAACATTAAATAAACAATGACTTAGTGATGGATACTCCAAAGAGAAAACAGAGATACACATGATGTAGTGCATTATACATGGAATAGTACACTATAAGTTGTACTCATCTTATAAAGAGCCTAAATGAACACATATAGATGGCACTCCTTTCCCCAACTTCAAGAGCTCTTAACCCATAAGGGTATAATGAATCCACATGGAGAGAATAAAGGATATGATAGAAACATTTAAATATATAAAGGGAATCAACACAGTAAAGGAGGAGACTATATTTAAAAGAAGAAAAACTACCACAACAAGAGGACATAGTCTTAAATTAGAGGGACAAAGGTTTAAAAATAATATCAGGAAGTATTACTTTACTGAGAGGGTAGTGGATGCATGGAATAGCCTTCCAGCTGAAGTGGTAGAGGTTAACACAGTAAAGGAGTTTAAGCATGCGTGGGATAGGCATAAGGCTATCCTAACTATAAGATAAGGCCAGGGACTAATGAAAGTATTTAGAAAATTGGGCAGACTAGATGGGCTGAATGGTTCTTATCTGCCGTCACATTCTATGTTTCTATGTTTCTATGTTTCTATGATATATCTCATTCTGTATTACACTATATTGCTTTAGTTCTTGTTTTGTTATATAATGGCACTAACTGTTTAAAAATTCTACATGTTCGGGTAAGTAATAGAAAGCACTGCAACATTCCACATTGTTTATGACTATTTCTGGTGACTTTTTTTGGTGTAGAAGTTGGAGGAAAACCACTCGTGTTGAAGCTGCTACACACAAATTGTTCTAAAATTGTTGCATACATAACCACAATATATTTTTTTCTTAAAAAACCTACAGAATAGCTTGACCCTGCTTAGGTCTCAAAAATGATTTTGAGACCTAAGCCATTACAGATAGAACCTATATATTTGCATATCAGACTGACCCCACCCATAGGGGCATTACTGGTCCAAAATGTTGACTACTTCTATTGATAATATGGGAAACCCAGGTTTTTATATATTTATTTAATTGTTTAAGCGTATGTTTTTAGCCATATGCCAGCTGACTAAATAGTTTGCTTTGTTAAAGGGATTTGTAGCAGTTTGGTAAAGGGATTCTATAGTGTAAGGAATACAAAGTTCCTTCTGGTGGTCTGGGTGTCTATACTGTCCCTTTAAAGGAAACATGCTTCACTGCTGTCCTATGGACCTCCTGGGATCCAGTACCTATTGCTGTTATGTCATAAAACTGAATTACTGGACATTAAATACATTCTCCACTGATTTACATATTTCTATATATCTATATAAATACATTTCTTTTTTATTACATAGTTTTACTCATTTTGAGCTCTCAAGTTTAAGAAAACAGATAACATCATCTATGATCAATGTCTCAAGGCACTTGTAAATTGTTTCAGATGACTAAAATGTTTTTGAATACCCAGCTGCAAAATAGAATCCATATTTGTGTTCACTGAATCGGTCAATGCTACGATATCTATACATGTTATAGTTCATTATTATTATAATAATAATAATATTTATTTTTTATTTGAGAGGATTTCACTTGTTTTTTGGTTGTCACTGTAATGTTTCGCTACCATGATATATGAACTGTCCATGTCCACTCTGGATTTAGAGCTTAGACTTTCTATCCAGAAAGTAATCAGTGAACTGGAGTTTATGGGTATATTGGTATATATTGGCAAATCAGTATAAAACAATCCAGAAGAAAGTGTACTGGGCTGCCGAATTGACAGCACTGGGCACAGAAACGAGAGTAGCCTCAGGCTGCTCTAAATACCATAGCCTCGGTTTAATAATTTTGCATAAGCTTTTCAATTGACCACAATCTGTTAGAAAAAAAAACTTCTCAAATATTATACCTGCAATAATTCCCATGGACATTAATGATGACTTAGGTAAATAAATAGTTTTTCAAAAAGATTGTGATCATTTGAAACTTATCCAAAAGAATTAAATGGAAGCCTGTATACGTTACAGTAATGCAAAGGGGTATGGATGGATAATAATGGAATGGACTGGATATGGATGGAACTTAGAACACAATGGATATAAATAAGGGAGAATAATGGAACAGGGACCAATAGAATGAGGAAGTGGGCAGATCAGATAATCAATAACTCTCTGTGGCCTCAAGAAGACTGTACTATCACTAGAATCCTGACACTATGTTGTGAACGTTGGAGTAATTAGGACAAACAAATGAGTTCTTAGGTACACGTTACAAAATGAACTAGTTCAGCTGTCTTCAACATTCCAACGTGACTTGACAGCTCCATACATGAACTCTGGCTTTTGAACATTCCAGAGGTTTTTACACTGAGTGGGTAACCATGCAAGTAATAAAATTTTAAATCTCTGTGCTCATTTGAATAATCTTGACTAACATATAAAACCTTTGGCTTGGCATCAAGATTATTTATTTTTATTTAAACAAAGTGAATATAAAAACACTAAAAACCCTTTAAGCTGCTTGCAAATAAGTTGCATTTATTGTCAAGAAATCATACACAGAAAAAAATATGTAAAACCTTTCAGGTTACTACTCTCCATTGTATCAACATAACATTAAAACAACCTGCCTAATATTGTGTAGACCCATACATACACACACGCACTGACTTAAAGACACACACTGACCCATAAAGACACACACTGACAAATAAAGACACATACACTGACCCATGCAGACACACATACAGATCCATCCATACATACACATTGATACACATTCACACACACACACAAACAGTGACTCATAAAGATTCATGCACTGACCCAAATACACACACAGACACTGACCCATGCAGACACACGCTAAACCCTACACACACATAGACCCATACATAAACACACATACACATACATACACACACACACACTGACCCATGTAGACACACAGAGAAACATACACACACACAGACCCATACATACACACACACACAGACAGACCCATACCTACACACACACACACACACACACACACACACACACACAGACTCAAGCAGACTGACATATACAAACATACTGATTGAAACAGACTGAAACACGTTTTATGAAGCACACACTGCAAGTTATCTCTTACCTTCATTGCATTTTGCTCTTCGTTCCTGTCATCTTTATAGCGCCCGGTGGCTGACAGTTTTTTTCAGCCCCATTTCCTATTATTCTCCTGCTCACTTGTCCTAACGTACAGGGCAAGGGACAGGAGCGAGTGAATGATGCCCCCTTGCTCTGCCGCGGTGCTTGGCTGGAGAGGGGTCCTTACTTTGCAGGCTGAGGCGAATGCCGGACCGATGTTCTACTGGGTGCTAGTCTACAAGCAAGTGCTCTCCAGCACCTGGTAACGCAGCCGGCAGCAGCCACAGACCGCTCTATATGATTAATCCAACTTGATAAGGGGGCGGCCAGATGAGCAGTAAAGCCACTGCCGGCGCCCCTCTTAAGAAGCGCCCTAGGTGGCCACCTACTTAGCCTATTGGAAGTTCCAGATCTGCCCCCCCATCCCCCATGCTGCATACACACACACAATCAAAGACACACACAATTACAGGTCTACACACACATAATAAGAGACACATATAAACAAACACAACCAAACATACACACAAACATAACCAGATATTCACAAAAAATCATGCAGACACACACTCACAGACCTACAAACACTCAATCACAGGCAAAAATGTACACAATCACAAACATGCACACAATCACATACATACATACACAATCATAGACCTACACAATCACAGACACACACAAACATAGACACACATACCTAATCGCTGATATACACACACTAATTTACATTCATACACACACAATCACAGACAAACACACACACACATACACATTTTTTTTATATTTATTAAGAGGTCAACCATGCCTCTCTACCTTTCTCTCGAAGTGCTGCATATGTAAGTACATATGCCTCCCTTCCCACCCATTCACCACCGGGCCCTGCCAGAAATTGTTATATTGAGCAGAGTAGGCACCTGCCATGTGAGTAAGCTAAGCTTAGTTAGCGGTGGGCGTCCCAACCACAAGCATTGGCGCTGAAGGCAGGAGCGGACACGGCAGGCAATGAGCAGTCTGGGAGAGACAACATAGTGGAGAGAAAAGGGAAGATAATATAAAGAGGTGAAGATAGGTCATGACATATCCCCAGCTTTCTATTTGCTTTGTGCTAAAACTGGATCTTAGAAACTCCTTTAAACTGAACTCATTGAGCTCTTTTCTGTGAAAAAGCCAAAACCTTCAACATTCAAAGCGGACAGTATGGAATGTGTGACCACAATGAGAAAATGTGGTTTATTGTAATTCAAAACCTCTGAGCTTTAAACCGCTTATTAAATTAGTTAAAAAATAAGGTAATTGCTTTACAGATTCAAGACAACTGAAAAAAGTTTCATTTTAAGACTATTTGTACAAAAATGATTTAATTTACTAACTGTACACTTGCCAATCATAGTGTACACAGGGCCAATTTTATTATTTAAAAAGGTGTTTTTTTTAACATTGAGTAAATTATGATTCTCAATACTATACACCACCGATTCTGACAAATCTAAGTAGGTTGATTTAAACATATTGACAGAAACTTACAGTAAATATTTCATGTGCGTAGGTAGAGGGTAACTGTGTATGGGCATAAACCTGACCCTTGATAAACCCAACCTTTGTTTCCAATGAAAATACACCAGACTTGCTTTGGATTAATATAGTCCACAGCTTTATAAAGATATTAATATATAAATCTTTAAACTTCACCATTGAGTAATGCTAACCACTAGCCGGTTAGTTGGCTCAGTGGGCATCCATCACTGTACCTGAGGTTAGGGAAGGGACAGCCCTACCCATCCACTTTTCACCGACCGCTGATTTAACCCTGGTTCACAAGGGCCATATACCGCCACAAGACCCGCTGGTTTACCCCCTCAATCAGCAGGGCCACCCCAACCCCACAGCCATAGCCTCCTCCAAAGCATCTTGTAATGCTAAATTAAATAAGTCCAGCCCAACATCCATCAGGTGGACCCCATCACTCCAAAAATAAATAGAAGCATTACACTCAAAGATGCGATGATGCACTGTGAGCATATATTGATTAAATATATATATAATTATTATATATATATATTTTTATATAATATAAAAAAAATGTAAATACGTTAAAAAATAAAAAAATTATAATAAATAAATAATTAAAATATATATATATATTTCGTTCTAACTGAATTGTGATTTTAATATATATTGATATCAAAATACAAGTTGAACAAAAATATATATATCTATATACATAATCATAGCACTGCCCCCACAGGCTTGTTTAGGAGGCACTTGGCATGATGGGTGCATAACTTCATCTGCCTCACTTCTTACCCTGATGCACGCATCATAATATATTTGCTTTAATCTAGCGCTCTTGCAATACTGTTTGGTCCACAAGCGTGTGTATCTACTCTGTCTAAATGATACTGTTGTATCAATAGTTTCCTTTATAGCACTTGGTGTTTACACTTTGTTTCAACTTCTATTTCGTAGGTATGTTACTATGGTAACCGGGTCACGCACGTTTTCATCACTTCCGCGTTGTGCATGCTAGCGCATGCGCACTAGGTCAGTAGAGACGCCGGTATACTGCATGTTATCACCTGTGGTAAGTTAACTTCTCTTTTATGGGTATATATTTAAACACTGTGATTTAATGTTTATTGTCAATTCACTTTGAGGAAAGCCCCGGACGAGGGCTGAAACGTCGGTGTGATGATTATATGATATGCTTTGAATAAAGCGATTTTTTCTAAACTTCAAGTCCGTGAGTGCAAGCTATTTCATGTTTACGTATATACATAAGTATATACGTATATATCACTATATATACCTATATTATAATAATTCTACATATATATTTACGTAATATTTTTACATAATTAAGTCATTTTATTAATTACAATTTTCGGGACCTGCTTGACAACCCAGGCCGAAAATATAGGGAATTTAATTTGCTAGCATTATATTTAACCGTATAACTTTCCAAGACACCATAAAACCTGTACATGGGGGCTACTGTTTTACTCGGGAGACTTTGCTGAACACAAATATTAGTGTTTCAAAACAGTAAAATGTATTGCAACGATCATATCTTCAGTGAAAGTGAAGTTTTTTTCATTTTTCACACACAAACGCACTTACACTGATGATATTATTGCTGTGATACTTTTTACTGTTTTGAAACACAAAAATTTGTGTTCAGCGAAGTCTCCCAAGAATAACAGTACCCCTCATGTACAGGTTTTAAGGTGTTTTCAAAAGTTACAGAGTCAAATTTAAGGCTTACGTTTCAGTTTTTTCACATTGAAATTCGCCAGATTGGTTACGTTGCCTTTGAGACCGTATGGTAGCCCAGGAATGAAAATTACCCCCATGATGGCATACCATTTGCAATAGTAGACAACTCAAGGTATTGCAAATGGGGTATGTCCAGTCTTTTTTAGTAGCCACTTAGTCACAAACAGTGGCCAAAATTGGCATTCAAATTAGTTTTTTTTATTTTTCACACACAAATAAATATTAACGCTAACTTTGGCTAGTGTTTGTGACCAAGTGGCTACTAAAAAAGACTGAATATACCCCATTTGCAATACCTTGGGTTGTCTACTATTGCAAATGGTATGCCATCAAGGGGGTAATTCTCATTCCTGGGCTACGATACGGTCTCAAAGGCAACGTAACCAATCTGGCGAATTTCAATGTGAAAAAACTGAAAAATGCAACATACTACAATTGACCCTGTAATTTCCAAAAACACCATAAAACCTGTACATAGGGGGTACTGTTTTACACGCAAGACATCGCTGAATACAAATATGAGTATTTTATTGCAGTAAAAGCAATCAGTATTATGACATTTAAAACGTCACATAGAACTAAAACGTTTTTTTTTTTTAAATCTTATTTTCTCCCATTTTTTTAAAACATTTTATTCATATTAAATTATGTTTAATAATAAGTGTGGGTACACCGCTGATCCAACCCTGGTTGAAAGATGTGAATTACGGTTGGACAGACATATAGCGCAAATTCCAGGTTTTGTTTACGTTTTGTTTTGATCACAACTTGTTAAGGTGCCAAAGAGAGGTGACAGGTTTTATTTACTGTTTTGTGTCCACGGATTTGCAGTGTTCATGTGTATTACTAGGCAGAAGTAATCCAGTCAACAGAGGCTTAAAAGGTAATGCAGAGAACCTGCTAATCATATGGCTTAACAGCAATAAGGTGCGGTCGATCAGGTAAATTGTTTTATTTGACTTACTTAGCTCTCAGGAACATAATTATGGGCTGGATAACCATTTATTTTCTGTGTTCCGTGGATAAAGGTTCATTTAGATGAAATGGTTGAATAACATTGTATTGTGGATTATATTTTTGTTTTCAGGATTTTTTGTATTAACCTTACTTGTAAAGACTTGTCTGGAATATTGTGGCAGATTTCATGCTAAAAGTCACAAATGTTTTTTTTGTTTGCTGCTGCACAATATTTTTCATAAAATAAAAATTGAATAATCAGGCAGTTGAAGAATGTGTCCAATGTGCTTGAGGACTCAAAGGCACAAACTAAATATATATATATATATATACACACACACACACACACTGCCTGGTCACACACAGTAATATTTCGTTGGACTGCCTTTAGCTTTGATTACGGTACACATTCGCTGTGACATTGTTTCGTAAGCTCCTGCAATGTCACAAGATTTATTCCCGTCCAGTGTTGCATTAATTTTTCACCAAGATCTTGTATTGATGATGGGAGAGTCGGACCACTGCACAAAGCCTTCTCCTGCACATCCCAAAGATTCTCAATAGGGTTAAGGTCTGGACTCTGTGGTGGCCAATCCATGTGTGAAAATTATGTCTCATGCTCTGTGAACCACTCTTTCACAATTTGAGCCCAATGAATCCTGGCATTGTCATCTTAGAATATGCCCGTGCCATCAGGGAAGGAAAAATCCATTGAAGGAATAACCTGGTCATTCAGTATATTCAGTTAGTCAGCTAACCTCATTCTTTGGGCACATAATGTTGCTGAACCTAGACCTGACCAACTGCAGCAACCCCAGATCATAGCACTGCCCCCACAGGCTTGTACAGTAGGCACTAGGCATGATGGGTGCATCACTTCATCTGCCTCACTTCTTACCCTGATGCACCCATCACTCTGTAACAGGGTAAGTCTGGACTCCTCAGACCACACAACCTTCTTCCATTACTCCCATGTCCAATCTTTATGCTCCCTAGCAAACTGAAGCCTTTTTGTTCCGATTAGCCTCACTGATTAGTGGTTTTCTTAAGGCTACACAGCTGTTCAGTCCCAATCCCTTGAGTTCCCTTCACATTGTGCATGTGGAAATGCTCTTACTTTCACTATTAAACATAGCCCTGAGTTCTCATGTTTTTCTACGATTTGATTTCACCAAACGTTTAAGTGATCACCGATCAATCAGGATTTTTTTCTGACTACATTTCTTCCTCGACCACATCCCCTTGCCTGATACAAAAGACCATGGCAAGGGGAAATTCCTGACAGAGAAAATTCCTCACTATCAGTTCCCCACTATCCTTCCAGTTTTTAATTATGCGTTGGACAGTGCTTAACCCAATTTTATAATATACATCATAAATAATCTGCAATCTAAAATATAAAAACCACTATAGCAAAGTAAGTGGGGACACCAAGTAAATTGGAACCATACGTTGCACTCACAAAGGTAGATGAAAAATAAGCAAAACATCATAAAAAAGCAAAGTCCACATATTTCTGAATTATGTTTGTGACGAAACCAATCTCGCCACATTGCATTGGAGGAGCCTGGTTGCCCGCCTGCTGCCTTTGGATTATGGACCGGCAGCTAAAGGGTTAATTTTACTGTGCAGAAGGATTTATTTCTCCCTTTCTGCACAGCCGTTCGGTAGATTCCATCTACCAAACAAACAGTCTCTTTTCAGCCTCCCCAGAGCCGTGGGAAGCCGGCCGGCGACCTTAATTGGCCACCCAGAAGCTGGAGTGCGCCCTCCATTTACCTCCCTGAAGCCGCGGTTAACCGCGGCTTAACGAGCGTGTGCCGGCAATTGACCACCCAGTAGCTGCGGTTAACCGCAGCTTAATTGATTGTTACTGGGTGGTCGCGGTTACACTTAGCCGCCACACGATGGCGGTGTTCTGGAGCTCCCCGGGCAGCCAGCGCTTGTCTGCCCGGCTTTCATGCACCAAACCCGGACACTTTTACGTGCAGGCACCGCTGAACCTCCAACCCCTGGTTCTAATTCGCACGGATTGAACGAATGCATGTAAATTCGGTATTTTATGTTGGAGGAATGTTTTAACCCAGATAGCTATGCCATGGAGCCTATTCGTGGAATTAAAGACTTTGGCTCCATGGCAATTAAAACTGTATTCGTGTGGTCTGAGTGCCATTCACCTAATAATGTGCACTCAGACCTGAGCTATCTGGGGATATGTTACATGTCTGTGTTTTATGTAGTAAATGTTACTTTGTGCATTTTAAAGTATAATGCTGGTTTTGTGTTCCCACGTGTGTAATGGAGTTTTGCCTTTGACTTGGGAGATAATTGAGTTACTTCCCAATTATCTCCCAGGGCAGAGGGGAGGAAGCCAGGATGCATTGTGGGAATATACTGTGACTGTGTGTCCTTTTTGTATACTTGTCTGTCCCTTGTCACAGTCTCCCATTTGGTCCCCTAGGGGAGTGTCCACCAGGTGGGAGACCTGCATAAAAGCTGGGCAGGTAGCCCTCATTAAACAGACCACTGCTTGACCCTCAACACGGAGCCTTGTCTCGTCTTTGGGGGGATTTACTGTATGCTGCTAAGGACTGATTGCCAGGAGTGTAAGCCGCTTGGAAGCTTTTCCTGTTCGCCTGCTAGCAGCTATTCGTATGGTTCCTGTTCGTTTATTTGAAGTGCTACCTTATTCCCTTGTATGCCGTTCGGGAGTTTGGAGCATTCACTTGTATGCAGTTCGAGTGTTTGGACCATTCCCTTGTATGCAGTTCGAGTGTTTGGAGCATTCCCTTGTATGCCGTTCGGGAGTTTGGAGCATTCACTTGTATTCAGTTCATGAGTTTTGGTGATTCTACAGTAGCTGTGCCTGTCTCTGAAAGGGGATTATCGTCTAAGCGGTTTTTTCCCCTTTTGTGCAAAACGGTCCGTTACAATTGGTGGCAAGCGGCGGGATCGTTCCCACGGACTACAGGACAGCTACAGGAGACACCATTTCTTTGGATTTACAATTTGAGGGCAACGCATGTCTGAGTACAGCGACCCTGACAGCAACAGCATGGAACCAGCAGTGTCATACGAGGAGGAGGACCTGGATGGCCGGGATGCATTAAGGAAAGGCATCTGGTACCAGGCTCTGGATAATGTACAGTACCAGCGGGGTGAGAGTCTCCCCAGTGAAGAGCAGCGGTTGCAGAAGCAAGTGGCCCTGCGGATGCCCTTCCTGGGAGAGCAGCCCCTAGATGAATGGGTGAAGGAATTGGAGCACCGGGTATGGCAGGAGATTTGGCTGGAAGATGCATACCAGGCGCTTTGGTGGTATGGGGCACAGTACCTGCCCTGGACAGCCGAGCATGACAAGCCAGAGGGAGAGGAGTTTGATGGTCCTGGCTTGTTATGGGAGGCTTTTTCAGAGCCTGAATTTGGGAGCCCTACACAAGCCCGGTTCAGTGATCTCTTGGAGTGGAGGGAGAGCAGGTATGACTGGGACGACACTCACGACATTGAGCAAGACCTGGCTCACCTAGCAACCCTGGAGTGGGAACTGGAGCAGGACTACCGAGATCTCTTCCACTCCATTGAGAAGATTCAGCAGGACAGCAAGGTGACAGAGCCAGAACCAGACCCATTCAGCTGGGAAGACATTGTGGATATTTTCTGGGAAGAACCCCAGGTGGCCGGTAGAGATGGGACCGAGGTCTCTCCACCGGTCCTGCAGGGAATTGGGAGCCCAGTCTCCATTCCCCAGCGGCCGTGTGATTTATTGGGAATTGGGAGCCCAGTCTCCATTCCCCAGCGGGAGATATTGCAGGGAATTGGGAGCCTGAGCTCCATTCCCCAGCGGCAGGCTGAGTTACAGGGGACAGAGATAGTCGCTCCTGTCCCCCAGCAGCAGAATGAATTGCAGGGAATTGGGAGCCCGAGCTCCATTCCCCAGCGGGAGAAATTGCAGGGAATTGGGAGCCCGAGCTCCATTCCCCAGCGGGAGATATTGCAGGGAATTGGGAGCCTGAGCTCCATTCCCCAGCGGCAGGCTGAGTTACAGGGGGCAGAGGTAGTTGTTCCTGCCCCCAGCAGCAGAGTGATATGCCGGGAAGGCAGTGTAAAGTGCAGGGAGAGGAGAACAGCGTCCTCCCTCCCCAGCGGCAGGCTGAGATACAGGGGGCAGAGGTAGTTGTTCCTGCCCCCCAGCAGCCAAGTGATATGCCGGGAAGGCAGTGGGAAGTCCAGGGAGAGGAGAGCAGTGTCCTCCCTCCCCAGCGGCAGCGTGATTTTTTGGGAATTGGGAGCCCAGTCTCCATTCCCCAGCGGCAGAATGATGCTTTGGGAATTGGGAGCCCAGTCTCCATTCCCCAGCGGCAGTATGATGCTTTGGGAATTGGGAGCCCAGTCTCCATTCCCCAGCGGCAGCACAGATCATTGGGAATTGGGAGCCCAGTCTCCATTCCCCAGCGGCAGAGTGTCCTACCGGGAATAGAGAGCCCAGTCTCCTTTCCCCAGCAGCAGGACTCTGTATTGGGAGCAGAGACAGTCGGTCTCCCTCCCCCACAGCTGGAAGTATGTATGGGAGAGGAGCTTGTTACCCCCTCTCCCCAGCGGCAGCTTAATGTACAAAGGGGAGACAGTAAGCCCCACAACCGTGCAGATGGGACCGTAGTCTCTACACTGCCAGCACAGGGGGTAGGGACGGTCGGTCCTGCCCCCCAGCGACAGGGCTGTTTAGCCAAAGGGGAGACAGTCGGTCTCCCCCTCCAGCAGCAGAGATGGGTAACCAAAGGGGAGACGGTCGGTCTCCAGCAGCAGGACTGTGCAGCTAAAGGGGAGACGGTCGGTCTCCAGCAGCAGGACTGTGCATCTAAAGGGGAGACAGTCAGTCTCCAGCAGCAGCAGCAGAGCGGTGTATTTAAAGGGGAGACAGTCGGTCTCCCCCTCCAACAACCAGGCTTCCACCAGGCTACCCTCCCAGTAGCGCTGGCAACAGGGCAGAGTGCCGCTGGTCTCTGCCCACGCAGCAACCCACCAAGTCAGCGTACCCGTACCCAGCACAGCCGTGGTGAGGCACCTGGACATGGACAAGCTTCTTCTCTACCCAGGTGTAGTAACCATTTATTGTGGGTGGGCTGTGCTGTTGATTATGTTTTGTGGGTGGGCTGCTGGACTAACAAGGGCACTGACCGGCAGGAGGTCAGATACCCTGTTAGTCTGTTTGGAAAAGGGGAGAGATGTGACGAAACCAATCTCGCCACATTGCATTGGAGGAGCCTGGTTGCCCGCCTGCTGCCTTTGGATTATGGACCGGCAGCTAAAGGGTTAATTTTACTGTGCAGAAGGATTTATTTCTCCCTTTCTGCACAGCCGTTCGGTAGATTCCATCTACCAAACAAACAGTCTCTTTTCAGCCTCCCCAGAGCCGTGGGAAGCCGGCCGGCGACCTTAATTGGCCACCCAGAAGCTGGAGTGCGCCCTCCATTTACCTCCCTGAAGCCGCGGTTAACACGATGGCGGTGTTCTGGAGCTCCCCGGGCAGCCAGCGCTTGTCTGCCCGGCTTTCATGCACCAAACCCGGACACTTTTACGTGCAGGCACCGCTGAACCTCCAACCCCTGGTTCTAATTCGCACGGATTGAACGAATGCATGTAAATTCGGTATTTTATGTTGGAGGAATGTTTTAACCCAGATAGCTATGCCATGGAGCCTATTCGTGGAATTAAAGACTTTGGCTCCATGGCAATTAAAACTGTATTCGTGTGGTCTGAGTGCCATTCACCTAATAATGTGCACTCAGACCTGAGCTATCTGGGGATATGTTACATGTCTGTGTTTTATGTAGTAAATGTTACTTTGTGCATTTTAAAGTATAATGCTGGTTTTGTGTTCCCACGTGTGTAATGGAGTTTTGCCTTTGACTTGGGAGATAATTGAGTTACTTCCCAATTATCTCCCAGGGCAGAGGGGAGGAAGCCAGGATGCATTGTGGGAATATACTGTGACTGTGTGTCCTTTTTGTATACTTGTCTGTCCCTTGTCACAGTCTCCCATTTGGTCCCCTAGGGGAGTGTCCACCAGGTGGGAGACCTGCATAAAAGCTGGGCAGGTAGCCCTCATTAAACAGACCACTGCTTGACCCTCAACACGGAGCCTTGTCTCGTCTTTGGGGGGATTTACTGTATGCTGCTAAGGACTGATTGCCAGGAGTGTAAGCCGCTTGGAAGCTTTTCCTGTTCGCCTGCTAGCAGCTATTCGTATGGTTCCTGTTCGTTTATTTGAAGTGCTACCTTATTCCCTTGTATGCCGTTCGGGAGTTTGGAGCATTCACTTGTATGCAGTTCGAGTGTTTGGACCATTCCCTTGTATGCAGTTCGAGTGTTTGGAGCATTCCCTTGTATGCCGTTCGGGAGTTTGGAGCATTCACTTGTATTCAGTTCATGAGTTTTGGTGATTCTACAGTAGCTGTGCCTGTCTCTGAAAGGGGATTATCGTCTAAGCGGTTTTTTCCCCTTTTGTGCAAAACGGTCCGTTACAATGTTATTTATTGATATTTATAAATATTAATTGATAATACACACGATGCCTATTTATCATCGACCTTTGTGAGTGCAACTTATGGTTCCACTTTTCTTGGTGTCCCCACTTACTTCACTATTGTAGTTTTTTGTATTGCAGATTATTTATGATGTATTTTATGGTTTGAGAAGTCTTTGAGGAATCTTCTTTATATTTCTGCATATTATTGGGTAACTCATACCTTTACCACTGTTGTTTTTACTGGGTTTCAGAGATATTTTTAACCCAATTTTAGTAGTTTCTGCAATCTCCTTAGATGTTTTCTCTGCTTGATGCATGCCAATGATTTGACCTTTCTCAAACAGACTAACATCTTTTCCATGACCACAGGATGTGTCTTTCAACATGGTTGTTAAAGAAATGTGAAGCTATTAATTGCATCAGTTAGGGTTAAATAACTTGTTGCCAGCTGAAAGATAATCGCCCATGCAGTCAGTGGCGTACACACAATCCATGGGGCCCCCCTCCCAACAGACACACACACACACATACATAAAGACACACATACATACAGAGTTACATACATAGAGACACACACACACAGACACACACATACACACATACATACATACATACACACACACACACAGACAGATACACACATATACAAAGACACAGACATACATACACACAGGCACATACATACAGACAGACATACACACAGACACACAAGACACACATACAAACATACAAACATACAGAGAGACACACATACACACAGACACATACACACATACAGACAGACACACACAGACACACATACATACAAACACACACATATACAAAATATTTTAATCACCCTCCTGTTTCCTACCTTTTAGGTGCAGGAGGGTGACTTCTCCTGGGGTTCAGTGGTGGCTCAGGCTGGTGGGAGTCAGAGTTCCCACTCTGACTCCCTGTCCTTCTTCCCATGCGTGCTCTGTGTGATTGCTGGGAGGAGTGACCGGGGTAGTCACTTCCTCCCAGCAGTACAGTACTGCCCAGCCCTGACCAGGCCCCCTGAAAATCCATCTCCATTGGGTGGCCCTAAAAGCATGGGCCACCCGATGGGCCCCTTGAACGGCGGCCCCAGTGGTTTGACGCAAAACATGTCGGCTGGTACCCGGTCGCAGGAGTCCGCAGGGCGACCAAGCCCCCTGGAGTGATGGTCCCAGGCGCAGCTGCGACCCATGCGACCCCTATATATACGCCAGTGCATGCAGTAACTATCCAATAGGAGGCTCTTACCTATTTTCTTAGTTAAATGCAGGTGGCGACTTTCTTTTGGCCCAGGCAATGTGTGTATGTATGTATGTATATATATATATATATATATATATATAGTGATGCCCCTATCAAAGTACAATTACCCTCAACTTAAATATATAATAACAGATCACAAAAACAGGCACTAATCCAAACATGCATACATCATGAAGTTTCTTTTGGAGCCAAGTGATTCATTAAAAATAGAGTGCACATCTCAAACTAACAACAAATCTGGTTTTACTTATAGAATGTTGTCATACATTGGATAAGTCTGCCAAACCACCAAAGTATCCCAGTTTAGACAAGTCATATTCTATCCTAAACTAATCACTGCTCTTAGGAGGTTAACCCATTCCACTGGAATTTATAAACGATATATATTACTTATTTATTTTACAAAAATAGTTGTAGATGCATGAGATAGCATTCCAGAAATCTTTTCAATCTATGTAAACATACTAATTGACTTTCACAACTTGCCTTAGTTAAAGCTGGGTTAAAACAAAAGAACAGCTTACTTCTGTTAGAGTACAAGAAATTGTCTATTCACCAAAATTGGCCACACACCTGGACCATGCATTTTACAGGAATGGTGCTGCCGTATTTGTCTCCCACATTGAAGTTAGTGTAGGACCCACCAATATTGTGGTACTGTGATGTAGTGGTGGGCTTAATACAATATGGTCGTACGGAGGAATTGAATCCCCATATTTGTTTGCTGAGATAGGGGATTTATAAGCAGTCTTATAAAATGTAAAGCTGTATTTTTATGTGTGTGCTGTTTCTTAAACTGTATTATGCAACAATTGACTTGTAGAAGACCCACAACAGGGCAATGAGTTTTTCCTTGAGCTTCCCTTAATTACTATGTTCCTTGCTCTGTAGTCATACCCCCAAAACATTCAAATTTGAACGCTTTGGCAAGCCATGACGTTATTATCAGAGTGCTCTGTGTCATTTTACACAGCGTGGGAAAGTTATTTGGAATTTTCCCATGCTGTGTAATTTGACTCATAACACTGATTGGTTGGTTTGTTTTTTGAAAGCAACCAATCACAGTGTTATGAGTCAAATTACATAACATGGGAAATTCCAAAGAACTTTCCCACGCTGTGTAAAATGACACAGAGCACTCTGATTGGTTGGATTTCAAGAGACTACCTGTCAGTCTCTTCATTTACCTCTTAGAGCACTCTGATTGGTTGGTTTTAATCAACCAATCAGAGCGCTCTGAGCCTAATTGCAGGGCTTGGGAAGATTTTATAAGCCTTTCCCCACCCTGCAGAGCTCATTCTTCACTGTGCCCTCCACAGGTGAAGAAGGATTCTCTTTTTACCGTCAGGCTTTTTCTTTTTTTTTTGGCATTTTTTTTTTTGGCGTTTGGTTTTTCATTTAATATTTTAACAGTTGCGACGGGTATTATGGATTTTTATATGGCCTTTTTTGGGGCTGAAGAAAGAAAAGAAAAGAAGAAAGAAGACATCTAATGGTAAGTATGAAATTTGATTTCACAGGGTTAGTTTATTATCAGGGTTAGTTTATTATTAGGGTGAGGGGGTAGGTAGGGTATTTTTATTGGGGGGGAGTGACTAGGGGCTTAGGGAGCCCTTGTTACTTTATTATTTGTTGTCTCCACCTGCCAGTCCTGGGTGGGGACATTAATTCCCCCACATTATTTATTTATGGTCTCCACCTGCTGCTCATGGGTGGGGACCAGGGGGGACAATAGGTCCCCCCATTTATATTAATAACCCCTACCTTATTGCACCAGCACCTGGGCAGCAATAGCCACTGGCTGCTCGCCGTCATTTAAAACTGGATATAAATGGGGAGATGTGGCTACTGGTCTAACCTAGCAGACGTGTGTGCAGAGCTCCGGCTCCACAAGCTAAAACAAACCCTAAAAAAAACACGAATATATCGGGAATCCAAGCACTTAAGATACCCTGACACTCCCCACAGCGAGATGGGTCATAAACATAAGAAGCTAACCCATGCAGTTTGCACCAACCTCCCTGACGGTCCTTTGTGGGGCCACTGACACAGGCCAGAGCTAAAATGGCACCGGAACAGTAGCAATTCTCAAGCGAATAGCGCCGGAACAGCAGTTATTCTCAAGCAACAACACAGGTAAATGGGGTTGTGTACCAGAGGAATACCTCAGACCCAGACGCTTCCCCCTCTACCAAGGGAGATATTAAAAAACTCCTCTTGGACTTAAGAGAGGTCTGGAAAGCAGACCTAGCCGTGGAACAATGACAAGTAAGTGGGCTGCAGCAGCGGATTGGGCACATAGAATCCAGAGAGGACAACAGGGAGCAGCAAAATTCACTCCCAAGTGACATCCCTTCTTTTTCTTATTTGCTTTCCTTTTCCTGCTTTTTTGTTTTTCACTTATTATATACGTTATACTCGCCATATGCAGATAAAGGTATTATATAAGGGGAGTAGGGATGAGAAGACGGTTCGCACTGAGGCAAAGATGGGCCTCTCAATGAGAGACTCTTCAAAAAAGACATATCTAATGGAGGTAACACTCCTTATTATGCTCAAGACAGCGTGCTTTTAATATGCTGTTTATTGTGTCTTTTTTACTTTCTTAATTATTTCAATGATATACTCTGTTGCTTTAATTTAAGCTAGGATGTAGGTAATAATGCAAACGCACCTCGAGAAATGTCTCCACAAGCATTCACATGTTAATGACCCAACCCTACATTTTAGAGCACCAGGCTTTTAGGCCTTTTAGGGCGATCATTCACCTTAGCGAATTTGGAGGCCTTCGATCTAGATTATAAGTTTCCAGTTCAGCTGACCGTACTTGCCTTTACAATACACTAGGCATAACATGCATATGATCCATGCTTTTATTGTTAGAAGTGAATCTTAATATGTGCTTAACTTTTTCCTTTTTAATTGTAGCATAACATAAGGCAAATATTTGTCAATATGTCAATATACCAATGCAAATGCTTGTCCATGCGGTCAAGCCAGTTTGTAATTTTTTGCACCGCAAGATAAAAACCAAGAATTAAAAAACTGGATATAAACGTATCCTATTTACAAGTGTTCACACTACTGTAAGAGTACGTGTGAAAAGTAGCAATTTAGATCAAAATAGCTACTTTTTCATATTGCAACATTGTTATAGTTTTTGCTATAACTCTTGGTTACACATATCACTTCTATGTAAGATACTGATTTTTATATCCAGTTTTAAATGACAGCTGGCAGCCACTGCCCCTACTACACGGGGGAACCTACTACACGGAGGATTTAACCTGTGTCAGGTCCCCACCTATTGTACTAGTGTAGCTGCCCAGTCTTTAATAGTTTTAAATTTGTTTAGGCGACATGCAACTACTTGCGGCATGCCGCGAGTAGGGGCATTTGGGAGGATTTCACCTGTGCAAGTTCCCTCATTATTGCAATAGCTGCCCAGTAACTAGTAGTTTTAAATTTGTTTAGGCGATTTAACCTCCATTTTATTAATATGGGTTCATAGTGACACCCATAGGTTTTAATGCAGGGGCGGAGTATTACAACGATGGAGCTGGTAGCGCTGCCGGTTCCCTCCTTGCATTTTTTTTTTCGCAAATGCGCAATACTGTTCTCGTTCTAATGGACGAAAACAAATTATTTTTTAACGAATTGGTTTGTGGACAAAATTCGCGATTGCCACATTTTATTTTTATTTAGCACGAAATCATTCGAACGAAATAAAAATTTCACTGGTGCACATGTCTATTCATTGTCTACTGTTGAACAAGGAAAATACTTTGCACATTCAACTTGCTAGTTTTTTGGTTCAGTTCGGCATTCCGAAATTCGGGACTTCGGCACTTCAGTTTGGTATGGCATTTCAACACTTTGGAACTTCGGGACTTCAACACTTCAGAACTTCGGCACCTTCGGCACTTCAGACCTTCGAAATTGCGGAACTTCGGCATTTCGGGACTTCTCTTGCAGCAGCTTAGTAGATAACTCCCTAAATTGGTCGTTCAGCCACATTTACTAATACTAAGTAAAAATTACTTAGTATTATTAAATTTTGCCCCTACTCGCTACACCGCGAGTAGGGGTATGTCTATTAAACAGTGAGCAGCCTGCGGGTGGGGGCCCTAAATCAGAATAGGGGGGTATCTATTGTCCTCCCCTCTGGCCCCCACCCCTGAGCGGTGAGTGGGGGCCCTAAATTATAATAAGGGGGGGACCTAATGTCCTCCCCCTGGTGCCCACCCCTGAGCAGTGGGTGGGGGCCCTGAATTATAATAAGGGGGTACCTAATGTCAATATGTCAATATACCAATGCATATGCTTGTCCTGAGTGGTGGGTGGGGACCCTAAATACCAATTGAGGGGACCTAATGTCCTCCCCCTGGCCCCCACCCCTGAGCAGTGGGCAGGGGCCCTAAATTAGAATAAGGGGGGGACCTAATGTCCTCCCCCCTGGCCCTCACCCCTGAGCTGCGGGTGGGGGCCCTAAAGAAAAATGATGGGGTGGGGACCTATTGTCCTCCCCCCCAGCCCCCACCCCTGAGCGGTGGGTGGGGCCCTAAATACTAATAAGAGGGGGACCTAATGTCCTCCCCCTGGGCCCCACCCCTAAGCAGTGGGTGGGGGCCCTAAATACCAATAAGGGGGGACCTATTGTCCTTCCCCCTGGCCCCCACTCCTGAGCGGCAGGTGGGGGCCCTAAATAAATTTTTTAGCCCCAGGTGACTAGGGGTCCCCAAACCCCTAGTCAACCCCCTCCCAAAAAAAACTAACCCCTACCTACCCCCCTCACCCTAAAAGTAATGAGGGGGGACCATTAACTAAGTACCTGTAAAAAAAAAAAAAAAAAAAAACTTACCATTTGATGGTTTCTTTCTTCTAAAATCTGCTTTTTTCAGCCCCAAAAAAGGCCAAATAAAAAATTCATACTAACCGACGCACTTAAAAAAATAAAAAATAATAATCCTCCTTCACCCATGGAGGGCTCCGCGCAGACTGAGCTCTGCAGGGCAGGGGGAAGTCTTATAAAGGCTTGCCCCACCGTGCAATTAGGCTCAGAGCACACTGATTGGTTACTTAATCCACCAATCAGAGTGTCATGAGTCAAATTACACCGCGTGGAAAAATTCCAAAGAACTTTCCAACTCTGTGTAAAAGGACACAGAGCACTCTGATTGGTGGATTTCAAGCTAACCAATCAAAGTGCTGTGACAGGTAAATGTAGAGACTTAAAAACAAGATAGAACAATGAGTAAGCGCTAACTAATATATTTGCAGCAACCCTATAAGGGAATCCCTCAAAGAACCCTTAGGAATAGAACCGGAAAGAGAAAAAAAAAAAGGGTAAGGGCTGCGCCAGAGAAAACTTTAAATAACAAATAGTCCAGGGAAATGTAAAAAAAGTCTTACCTAAAATGGTCTTGCTGTAATCGTCTATTTGGGCTTGATCCAGAACGATAGTGCTTGAAATAATCCTCGGTGTAAGTCGGTAGGTATATATAAAAAAAAAAAAAAAAAATAGAGCCCCGAATAGTGCAATATGCTTAAAACTGAAAGATTAAGAATAATAAAAAGTTGAAATAAAACTCACATTTGCCAGAGCGTAAGACTCGCTCCGGTATGAAAGGCGTACAGCAGTTTGATCCCCGCTTGCAGGATATATGGTGAGCTTCCTCCGTCAGCTGAAGTGCCGAAGTTCCCAATACTCGGATAAAAAGAGACAGCCAATAGTGTACACTGAGTGTTGATGTAAAATAAAATAACATAAAATGGGTACTCACAAGACGGGAGCAGGACAACTGCTTCTAAACGTAAGCGCTGGTGGTATGATCCCCACCTAGGATTGCTTGGAGTCCAAGATGTAGAGAAGATGCCAGGTCGCAAAATAAATAAATGTGTATAAAAAGATATATGGCACAGATAAAAAGTAACCAAATAAAAGTAGCTCCATATTGATAATGCCGTGCTGGCGAAACGCGTTTATGGATATTATTTTGTGTATTTTTATATATTAAAAGTTTATTTGGTTACTTTTTATCTGTGCCATAAATCTTTTTATACACATTTATTTATTTTGGGTATTTAGGGCCCCCACCCACCGCTCAGGGGTGGGGGCCAGGGGGGAAAACATTAGGTTCCCCCCTTATTCTAATTTAGGGCCCCCACCCGCCGCTCAGGGGTGGGGGCTGGGAGGAGGACATTAGGTCCCCCCCCTTATTCTAATTTAGTCTCCCCACCCGAAGCTCAGGGGTGGGTCCTGGGGGGGGAGGACAATAGGTCCCCACCCCATCATTTTTCTTTAGGGCGCCCCTGGGGGCCAGGGGTGAGGTCCCCCTCCCTTATTCTAATATTCTAATTTAGGTCCCCCTCCCTTATTCTAATATTCTAATTTTGGTCCCCCACCCGCCGTTCAGGGGTGAGGGCCGGGGGGGAGGACATTAGGTCCCCTTATTCTAATTTAGGCCCCCCACCCGCCGCTCAGGGGTGGGGGCTGAGGGGGAGGACAATACGTCCCCCCCTTATTTTACTGTAGGGCCCCCACCCGCCGTTCAGGGGTGGGGCCAGGGGGGCAACCCTTCAGGTTAGAAGCCCCCACTCACGCAGCATGGGTGGGGCACTTTTTTTTTTTTTTTTTTAAAGTGAGCAGCCAAAGGCTGCTCAATGTTTACTAAACATGCCCCTACTCGCGGTATAGCGATTAGGAGCATAATTTACTAATACTAAGTAATCTTTACTTAGTATTAGTAAATTTGGCTGAAAGACCAATTTAGGTCTTTCAGCCTTTTAGTAGATAGCTCCCTAATACCGTGGGAATTAGGGAGTTATCTACTTATTCTTTCCTGTCATTACATTGACTGGCTAAGTAACTTACATTTGATATGAATGTATGTTACTTGATTGTTGTAAGTGTTGCAAATGCTTACAGCTGAATCCTGGCTATGTTTGTATACTTTTTATTTAAAATTGTATACAGTGTAACATTCTTCATTCTTCCACTGGGTAAGTATATTAGTTCTTAGGCAATACTGTACTTCGGAACTTCCGCAACTTCGGCACTTCAGCACTTGGGAACTTCGGCACTTCAGCACTTCGGAAATTCTGTAATTTCAGAACTTTAGGACTTCGGCAATTCGGCAATTCATCTATTCGGACATTCGGAAGTACCAGAATGTCCGAATTGCCCGAAATGTGACATCGACTGTGACATCGATGCAGAGGTTTCGGTGGCCAAGGAGGGCAGTGGAATCTATACCGCTCCTGGTGTTTCAGCTGCCATGAGCTAAGATCAGCTCTGTACTCTTAAGCAAGTGCAAGAGTACATCATTGAGGTCTATGGAGGATCCTGCAAGATTGCGGGATCCTTCATAGAAAGAGTTTTTTATCCCTATTCTACTAACCTACTTTTCTACTCCTACCCTTACCTTGTATCACTCTACCTCATTCCCTCTAGCATGTAAGCTCACTAAGCAGGGCCTCAACCATTCTGTTACTGTGCGCCCAACTTGTCTGGCCACAATTATGTGTTTGTTAGTCCACCCATTGTACATCGTAAGGGATACCATATATTCTCTAAATCAGAACACAATTAACATTGGCCAGTGCCATAGGCAGGATGCCAGCTGTGGGCTCCCTATTGTTTCTGTTAGTGTTATGTGTGGGGTGGGTAAGTGTTGTATATGTGTGCGACAAACAGTGATGTGTGTGTAGTTAGTGTGTGTTAAGCTGAGAGCTGTATGGGAGTGACTGAGTGCTTTTGTATACTGACTGAGTGTTGTGTATCTAATGGCTGAATTTTGTGTGTGTAGGGGATTCTGAATGTGGCTGAGTTCTGTATGTGAGTTTTCTCACTCCTCCTGCTTGCCTTTTGGGGTATTATCCCTTGTGGTCAAATGGAGCATGAGCTGGATCCCTGGTGGCCCAGTGGAGAGTGAGATAAATCCCTAATCATCTAGGGAGGGAGCCTTTTGGTTTGCACCAATATTGGCTGTAGATCAGTTTAAGAGCTCTCTCGTGGTCGGCACTCTGTCAGTGATTCAGAGTGCTGGCAGTGGTGCTCTGAATCATCAAGAAACACAGGGGGATCACAAGGGAGATCTTAAAGTTTCTGCACCTGATATTGGTGCAGACCACAACTCTGCCTCCACAAATTGAGGGGGCTCAGGGCTGAGCAGTAAGAACTTTTTCTCAAACCTGCAGACTCAAGGAGAGCCCCCTCACAGCCAGAGCCAAAGCTCCAGACTAAGAGAGAGGCCCACTGTGTTCCTGTCTGAGCCGGGGACCTAAGCAATGTGTTAATCCCCCCGCCCAATATTTCTGTAAGCCATAAACAAAACAATACAGAAACCAATATTCAACCTATTAGAAACAAGAAGGTTTCACAACAATATCTCGGTATATACCAAATTGGGATAAAACAAACAAAATCAAACACAAACCAAAATCTGCATTTATGTCACATTTTTGTAAATCATGAAGAAATAAAAGAAAGATTACCGTTGTCTAAATATATAGTTTTTTTCTATAGTTATGTGCTAGCTAAGTACCTTATATTTCAGTTAAATAACTCTGCTTTGAGGGGGTTGATAGTTGGATAATCATAAATTAAACTAAATATTCTTATTTAAATAACTTCGCTGTGAGGGGGTTGATGGTTGGATAATCATAAACTAAGCTAAATATTCTTTAATGACTTGAATAATGTCTTAGAGATATTTGGTTTCTAGAGAGCAGAGGACAAACATATATCTATTTTCTATCCTTGTGGGATCACTCCAGATGTTTTTAAACCAAAACAGCTAATATGTAACTCTTTATAACCAAAACCTTCATATTTTGTATAATAAGCAAAAATAACTTCTGATAGGACTGGCAAGGTTAGTCACATACGTTAACTATGTTGTAACCATAAAAATATTCTGGTATACTTTATGTTTGTATAAAGATAAGTAAATACTAAAAGAAATTATTTTAAGTGTAACAACTACCCTCCAAAAGATGAGAACATCATTAATAAATCATATCCGTAAATTCATGTGCTTTGCATACTGGTTTTCTCTACAGCGCAAACAGAATATTTTCCTACTTCCTGAAAAAATAGTTATAAATAGTAGCTGGTCACTTAAAATATACACAGATGTCCTTGTTTAAAATAAAACTTAAAATTCAGTTATTATCCCAAGAAATAATTCTCCCAAAGAATGTAGAGAAAAATAGATATACTGTGTAATATAGTCTTTGTACCTGCTTATCGTAGTATTAGTTAATTAGTAATTCACCAATACTAAAAATTAAAATACATAGTATTTGCATATTTCTATTTTATTCTATACTCGTAAAGAAAAATTTAGAGCAATGTTAATGCGTTTTAGAATACAGGATAAGAAAGTGTAGACGATAGTTAGGGTAAAAAAGTGCAGAAAAGGGCGATGCCTGAGATCCATGGTAGCTGGGCGTGCATCGAGTGAGCTCCCAGCCTGATGTTGATTATTAGCTGATACTTAGCTCACAAAAGCTAAACGATCTGAAGTATACCTACATCTGGAGTCTGCTGGGGCACCCAGGAACACTTGTGCTGAGTACCAACTGCTCACTCCCCAGTGGCCCCAACGAGTCCTAGTGCAACAGCCAGGCGGGTGAAACCTCCGATCACCTGTTCTGCACATCACTGCACTTTTCTATAGCTCTCTTGCAGCACTGTTTCCCCTCCTCCACCCTCCCTCTGGACCGGTGGAAACTGAATGTTACAGATTAAAGATCTAGTTTTTCTGCATGGTCCCCAGCATCTACGGAGGTAACACTTTGAGTTCTTCTGAAAAGTTGTTTCCATTTTTACAATTAGCATGCTGTGCATATATCAACACCCACGCACAGACGTTTAGGATTATGTAGTTTAGCTGTTTTTTATGAAAAAAACATGAATTATACTATTTTGCAAGAAAAGCATACACCACTGTGCTTGCTCAAATTTAAAACGTCATGACTTGTTGACTTGCTTGTATTTTCATGTAAATTAAACATGCTCTTACATATGGCACTATTCCTTGTTTTGCTCAATTATTTATGACATTTGTCCCTTTCTACTCATTTAAAAAATATCCCCCAGTATTAATCTAAAACCTACTAGAATACATCCAAAGTTATATAGTTGATCTACACACCTGACTTCTTTCACTTTAATGACATCATGCCAAAATATAACAGATGCAATAAAAATCATTAAGACATAATATAACTAGTGTGCCTTTTCACCCTTTATATTTGCTGATGAATTATTAGGATATATGGTAACTCTCTGATTGGTTACTTAATCCACCAATCAGAGAGTTATGAGTCAAATTACACAGCGTGGGAAAATTCCAAAGAACTTGAAAAAATGACACAGGGCACTCTGATTGGTGGATTTAAAACCAACCAATCAGAGTGCTGTGACAGGTAAATGTAAAGACTTACCTGTCAGTCTCTTCATTTACCTGTCAGAGCACTCTGATTGGATGGCTTAAACCCTGCAGAGCTCAGTCTGCGCGGAGCCCTCGCCTGTGAAGATGGATTTTTTTATTTTATTTTATTTTTTAAGTGAGTCGGTTATTATGGCTTTTTATTTGGCCTTTTTAGGGGCTGAAAAAAGATTTTAAAAGAAAGAAAACATCAAATGGTAAGTTTTATTTTATTTATTTTCAGGTACTTAGTTAAATGGTCCCCCCTCATTATTTTTAGGGTTAGGGGAATAGGTAGGGGTTAATTTTTTGGGGGGAGGGGTTGACTAGGGGTTTGGGGACCCCTAGTCACCCGGGGAAGGAGGGGTTAATTTTTTTATTTAGGGCCCCCACCCACCGTTCAGGGGTGGGGGCCAGAGGGAGGACATTAGGTCCCCCCCCTTATTCTGATTTAGGGCACCCACCCGCCACTCAGGGGTGGGGACCGGGCGGGAGGACAATAGGTCCCCCCCCCCATTACTTTACTTTAGGGCCCCCACCCACTGCTCATGGGTGGGGGCCGGGGGAAGGACAATAGGTCCCCCCCCCTTATTGTACTTTAGGGCCACCACCCGCCGCTCAGGGGTGGTGGCCGGGGGGGAGGCAATAGTTCCCCCTTCAGGTTAGGAGGGGGAGGGGGGACGTGTTTTTTTTTTACAGTGAGCAGCCACTGGCTGCTCACTGTTCAATAGACATGTCCCTACTTGTGGTATAGTGAGTAGGGGCATAATTTACTAATACTAAGTAATCTTTACTTAGTATTAGTAAATTTGTCTGAAAGACCAATTTAGGTCTTTCAGCCTTTTAGTATATAGCTCCCTAATACTGTGGGAATTAGGGAGTTATCTACTTATTCATTCCTGTCATTACATTGACAGGCCAAGCAACTTACATTTTATATGAATGTGTGTTACTTGATTGTTGTAAGTGTTGCAAATGCTTACAGCTGAATCCTGGCTACGTTTGTATTCTTTTTATTTAAAATTGTATACAGTGTAACATTCTTCTTCTTTCACTGGGTAAGTATATTAGTACTTAGGCAATACTGTGCTTCGGCACTTCGGAACTTCGGCAACTTCGGAACTTCGGCACTTCGACACTTTGGAAATTCGGTAATTTCAGAACTTCGGGACCTCGGTAATTCGTCACTTCAGCAATTCGTCACTTCAGCTATTCGGACATTCAGGAGTACCCGAATGTCCAAATTGCCCGAAATTCGTCTGAATTCACATTCAGCCCGAAACGAATTGCACATGTCTAGCCTCCACCCATGCTCAGAACCATCCAGTATTTAGTGCATAACCCCATGAATGTTGCATGCATGAAAGAGGCTGAGAGATTTACGTTGGAGAAAGCTGAGTGTGTCTGTGTGTGCTGGAGGAGTGTTGTGTGTGGTGGCTGAATTTTGTTTGTGGAGGAGGAGGCTGAGCGATGAGTGTCTGAGTGTGGAGGAGAGTCTAAATGTGTGGCTGATTGTGGTGTCTGAGTATTATATATTCATTTTTTCCTTTCCTCTTTGTACCTGAAAAAGTTGCTCTGCAGTATGTAGAATTCAGAAGAAGGTGCATAAGATTAAGTAATTAGGCCATGAAGAATCCTGCAGAGTATGCATTATACATACTGCAGGGTAACCATTTTCATGCGTTGTCATAAAACTGACAAAATCATATGTGTCCCTGTAAATATGGTGGATATGGTAACCCTAGCTGTGAGGTACATTTCACTTTTACAGCTCCCTTGCCGTTTAGACTACATTATTTGGGGTCGTATGCCGTCCTGAAGCTCAGTGAGTAAATCAGGGCACTAGTTGATGTGCTCTGAGTCAGTGAAAAGCCAGGACAGGGAGGCAGCTCTTAAAGTTATCTGCCCCAAATAGAGGTGCAGACAACAATGCTCCCTCAATGAAGTGAAGGGGCACATAACTGAGCATGTGGATCTCCTTCATCTCCCTATTAGCTCTGGGAGGGCTGCTTTCATAGTCAGAGCTGGCACTTCAGGTCCAGACAAGGAATCACTGGGCTCCTGTCTGAGTTCAGATGTTAGTCAGTTGTCTGGTGATACTGAGTGAGATGTTTTAGTTACGTATTGTGCCAACTTAACTTACCTGATATGGTACTCTTAGCTAATACTGGTAACTCCTAACCTTATCCCTTAAATTTATAACAGCTAAACCTGGACATTCTATTACCTGGAGATTAATTTGCCTATTAGATCCCTTTGGCCACCAATAATGAGGCACATATGGTAGGGAAGGGTGCCAATGTTGGAATTTGGTCTACAATTTGGTATACACACACAACAAAAAATTATTTTAGAAGATTACTATAATTGATTAGAATAACAGAGGTCCTTCGTTTTAATAGTAGCCGTGAACAATTAGGATGTTCACTAGTTCTTTGTGAGAAAAAACATTAATTTCCTTTCCCTTACAAGCAGTTCTCTCATTCATCTTTGGAAAGTACTTTCTCATATTAGATATAATTAACTTAAATTCCTGCTTTTTAAGCAGTAGTTGAAATGTTGATTATGTTACAGGAGGGTTTGAATTCAAAGAAAATGTCAGGTGATTGATCAATCCTGAGTGCGTGTTTTGAAAGTGGTTAGCCTGGGAATCCCCTGGATTGAGCCAACAAGGTTTTCAACTTCACTTTGCGTGGAATAGTGCCAACTGTTTTATTTCGTTTAGATCTGTCTTGTACTTTCATGTTATTTCTAGACACAATATAATAAGAGATCTTTTATGAAGCAACCAAACTGAGTTGCATACTCCTCTACACAAAGTCACAAAACATCAAATTAAAACTTCAAATAGACATATTAATAAATTATAAACATCGCTATCCTACATACCAACCAAACTTCCAAATGTTTAGCACATTGGGAGGCCTACGCCAAGGTTCTGATGAGGTGGTAACTAGTCCCCCAACAACTCTCTCGCATCTATGTTAATGTATTGTAATCCCGATGTGCTGGAGATGCGGAGCCAAGTCAGACACAATAAAACACATGTTTTGGGACTGCACGCTTGTTCTGCAATTCTGGGGACAGATTAGAAATCTTATAAGGGACGTAAGCCACACACGACTGGACATGAACCCAGAGACCTATCTCTCGCATATGTCCCCTGCACTGGATGACCACCCAGACAAGACTATCATAAACATTCTTACTATAGCAAAAACAGGTATGGCACTTCACTGGAAGAGCACTATAACTCCTACACTAGACGAAGAGGTAAAAAGTCTGGAACTCACATACCAATATGAAAAAACTATGAGCAAGGAGCTAGGCAACTTAAGTAAACACAAGACATTATGGAATAGCTGGATAGTAGAATAAAAACACATGCATAATTTCCCCCCTTTCCCCACTACTCCCCCCTCGCCCCTGCCCCCCTTTCTTTCTTTAGTTTGTTGGAAATTCTGTTAACCTTTCCCCTTCTCTACCTAATCTTTATGGATACTGACGAGACAGGCGCAAGGAACAGCAGATGAACACACCACAGGTGGGGAAGGAATGCTCCTGCACACTGGTATACATAATGCTGCATATAGCTCAGAGTATTTGTTACTGTAATCATTTTCAACACATGTAGCCTATCAATGTGTCAATGTATGCTACATGTTATTCATATGCCATGGCTTATGTTAATCTGGCACTCATAATGTTCAGTAAACCGCAACGAACGAACTGTCGCTTTGTACTGTCTTGTATCCTTGTATAAACTTCAATAAACATCAAAAAAACTTTTTTATAAACTTCTTAAAATATACACCGGGGAAATAATATATTTCAAAAACATCATATTATGGTTGTTTATATATTTTCCTTCACATATTAAACATTTAATTACATTACCATTAGATAGTTAAATATCTCTAGATACTTATACGGTACTTGTGCCGTAGGAGTAAGAGAGAGAGCCTGCTGCTTTAAAACAAATTAAATGTTTTGGGCCCAATGCCACTACTCTCTAAAACTGTCTTTTACATTTTTATTATAACCCCAAATGCTTCTTCTATTTATGATCTTCCTTAATAAAATATGCTGATGTCTGCAAACCTTCTGAACCACTGTTTTCTCATCTCCAGTTATCTTTGTGTACAAGTACAATTCAGTACATAGCGCAGAAAATATCCCAGCTTTGTAACCAAGTCTAACACCTGAACCCGTTATTACATCATCTTGGCACTAGTACTAATGAGTTGAAAGTCAGA